GGGGCGGCGTCCCGGCCGCCCTCTCCTTTGGCCTCGATTCTGCCCGCTCGTGTCACCGAGGGGTTCCTGCCGCTCTGGGACATGGAATCTGGTTGAAATCAGGTTTTCTCTGAGCCATTGCTTTTGGCTTCTCCCACCTCCTTTTTTTTTTTTTTTTTTTTTACCCTCACTTTCCGAGCCTTTTATTTTAGAGGAGCAGTGGCTCCTTTTGATGCTCTTGCAAACTGCTCACTTGTCACCCCTTGGCTGCCTCTAATTGTGTAGAAAAACAGCACCTTGCTTTGTATGTAAAATATCACTTTCCCTCATAACATGGACGTGTTGACCTTATTTCAATTGGTGTACAAAATAAGCAAGTTAGTGGTTGTTTAGTCAATTAATCTAAAATCTGATGCCTCTAGCCGGTGAAATAAGCCCTTGAGCTCTTGGTGATGAAAATACCGGCACCTTGTCCCTCTGTAATAACTTGGCATTGTTGGGAGGCTTGTGGTCTTTACGGGACACTTCAGTCCTCTGGATCGCATCACCAGGGTTAAATTCCAATATCAAGCAATTTGATCCGTTTCATCTTGATTTTTGGTGAAAGAATATCCTGGCACTTCTGCCTTTTGAGTCTCTGATAAAGGATTTTCATTCCTTTGGTGGGAACAGCCTCCAGGACAGGGCTAGTATTAGTGGAAATGTCCAGTATAGGAAGGAAAGAGGAGGCTTGAGCTCAGTCCTCCAGTGGAAACAGCTGGGTTGTTGAGAAGACCTTCCAGGGGAGATCATGACAACAAGGAGGGGGATGCTCACCTCTTGAATATTGGCTTTCAAAAAGCTGACAGCGCATCTCTGCTTACACCACCCTGTTAGTTGGAGGAAAATCTGAAATTTGTTAATTTTGTGCAAAGAAGGCAGATCTGTTCTGGTTTTGCCTGTAAAAAATTCAAGTGTTTAATGGCATGACTTTTATTAAAGTGATTTCTGAGGGCTGAATTGAAAAGTTACATGTTTGTAGTGACACTGTCTACCTTATGTTTACAAAGATGGTTCTTCTGGTTTAAAAAAGTCAGGTTTTATTTGTTACGTTTTTGTGCGGTTTTTTTGCTTCTGGAGAAATAGCCTGCCAATTTATTTTTAGTTTATTATGAGAATTTCTAAACTTCAGGAGGAAAAAACTGTGGACTCAACATGCATTTGTGCCGTAAATGTATTGATGAAGAAGTGCTTAAGTGACCTGCAACACTGAAGTCTGCACTATGTTCTTTGAAAAGTTTTAAATATCTTGCTGTTTTTAATGGGAAGAACAAGCTGCAGTGTACTGATCTTTCTGTTCTTTGCCATTGCTTCTTGTACTAACGTTGTAAATGGCTTTTGGAAAATATTTGTTTTGGTAAAACATTGTTCTTGTTAGGATGTGATATTACATCATGGAAATCCTTTTTGTTTTGTGAAGGAGGAGCTCAGAGAACTACGTGAAGAACCAACTGATCCTCAAGCTCAGCAAGAAATAATTAACAGCATTGAAGAAGTTTATTTTTCCAATGATTCCTTTGATATTGTGAAGTATGAGTTAGAGGTAAGTTGTCTTTGTAAAAGAAAAGACAGTAATATAACAAAAAATGAGGGTCAAAATTATGCTAGTTTCAAAGAGCTATTTTTCGTTTTGTTTCTTATATCTTGCATTAATGCCAAATGGTACCCTCCCGCCTCGTCTTGCGGTTGTGTGGAGCTTCTAGCATATAGTATTGGTATGGAGTCTCTTTTTTCAATGTAGTAGAGTTAATATCAGTTGTGCTAACAGGCACTTCATAACTTAAACTGTTGTGAAAAAGCCAAAATAGTTGGAGGGGGGAAAAAAAAAACCCATTCTATATTTTGGGTATTTTTTTAGCAAACTGGCTGAGGCATAATAATTTCAATGATTAGGGCGGTTGTGTGTATACGGTTGTGTGTATATGGCTTAAAATAAGGCAACTTAGAGGTAATTATATGATGTAATTATGATAATACATTGCTTATCTTAGCACTGATTTATTTCAGTGTCCATCATTTGGAATAATGGATTAATTCTGCAAATTAGATTGCAGAAACAATGAGAATGTTTCTTTAATGGAATTGATTGGTTAGTTAATACTACATGTGTATTTAACGTCCTTTAATTTCTCACTGAATTTAATTTATTGTTTACATGCAGAGGCTTCCTCCAGTACTTAGTCTTCAAGAACTGGAAGAGTACAGAGACAAGTTAAAACAACAGCAAGCTGCTGTAAGTAAAGTTGTTTCCTCTGTACCCTCAGGATAGCCAGAAGTGTAACTGAAAAAGTTTTGATTTCTTAAACACATTAGATATTAAGCATTTTTTCTTTTAATATTATCTTTGTGCTTTTATAGTGGACGATCATATCAGTAAATCATATAATTATATGAAATCATGGAAGTAAATCTTGGTCATATATTGTAACAAGGAGCAAATATGCTAACTACTTCTTTAGAAACTTGATTTTCTGAATGTTCAGCTTTTCCTACGTGTTGCAAGAAAACTCATGTTCAACACAGTGCTAAATAGTGCGGTAGTATCTCTTTTTTTGAGGGATTTCTGGCAACATAAACCGTAAAATGTTTTAAAGCAACTCTTTCCTTAGAGTTGCTATTTTCTCTTATTTTTCATTTGTTAATCATCCACAAGGATTTCTAGTGAATACTGGTACGGAATTATTATGTAATAAAACAAATGAAATGTAACAATGAGTAATAACTATAATTTATGGGGGGAAATTAGACTTGCAGCTTGTGAAAGGTACTTGTTACATTTCAGGCTTTTTTCATTTTCTATTCGTACGTTAATTATTGATTCATTGCTCTTTTAAAGATGAATAATATGGTACAGGAAATTAATGTATTCACTGTGGCATTTGGAGAGTATCTGCAAGTAAAATAACAGTAATAATCCTAATTCATGTCTTTAAATGAATGAAATGTACAGAAGGAGAATATTGGATTGTTAACAATACATAGAGAACAAGTTCCTTCTGCCTAAGATTGCTTTTGGCAGAATAAACCTATGAAATTTTGTAAAATATTAGTGAGAAGTTGAGCAAATGAATATGCCATGTTTCTCACCAAGAGGTATAAGGAAAGAAGTTGAAAGTGGGTGGTAGTTTTTGGTTTTGTGTTGTTTTTTTGTTGTTTTGTTTTTTAATGTTTAAGAGGGCATCTGGTGGTGACCTGGGTTTGCAAGGAAATACACTCAAGGCTGAGAGACAACTTCATTGAGATATGCTGTATAATCCTAATGCCTGTTATCAATGTCTTGGCCATTCTGCCTGCACGGTGGGAACCGGCTGCAGCTAGGGGAGTAGTTTCAGTACATAGCTGCTGCTGAAACGTGTGAACTGGAAACTGCATGCAGCTAATGAATAATAGGGATGGGAACTGAGCACGAGGTTTCCAGGAAATATGGCCCGGATGTGTCTTTCTTTTAGAAAAAAAACCCAAACAAAAACTATCAAAGCCAAAACTTTTGATGAGAAACGTGTGCCCAATTTGTCCCCGACCATCCCCCCGAGTCAGGATTGGGCCTTTCTTGTGTCTTCCTTAATATAGTCTAAATATGATTCCGCTATCGGAAGGAATTGTTGCTTGGGTTTGCTTTCATCCTTTGGCATGTCCCAAGTTGTTAAAATTTCTCTTATGCTGAATATTATGTCCTTGCGTCATATTTCCAGGTGGATCGTGAGAGACTGTTGCATGTTTTCTTCTCCTGTCTCAATTATTGTCCATTTATCTTGTGATATGTCATTTAGATTACTGTCTGTCTTAAAGGACTTCAGTGTCCTTCATGGAAGACAGTACTGCAGAATGTTGTATGTTGTTAGTTCAGTCCTAAAAATATTTTAATGCTGATTGTGAATAGATTATTAGATAGAGAACTCACGAAGTCTGTTGACAGATTACACAATACCTCTGCTTTTGAAGAAGAATAAATACTGCCTTTTTCACTTCAGTGCCTGTGTCTATACCTGACATAGGAATTTACAATAGTGGTTTAGAGATAATTCCAACTTCTAAATTTCCGTAACACAAAGCACTCAAATGAGTGTGAATTACAGGTAATAGAGCTCTGATCTTCCACTTCTGTAACCACCTACTTTTGCATAGATGATCTTGGTCATGCCTTTGTTTTCTGGGTCACTATAGACTCTGTATTTTCTACAGTTTTCCCATTACAGTTTTCCATTCCACTGGATAGATTCCAACTCATTCAAGACTTCCTTAATATGTCTATCATGACAGCTTTAATTTGTCTAATCATCTTGGTACAGACAACTTGAATTAGGAGGCTTTTTAGTTGTACGTCTGTTTGGCTTCATTTTAATTAATAGACTGATATCCTCAGCTTTTTTTCTTCAGGAGATGAAATATTTTTTCCTGATGTGATTAGGAAAGAGAAAATTGTTCTGGAGAAAATTATTTGGTCCCCTCAAAGAACATTGTTGTTTGCATGCATTGATAACTGTAGCCACATTCATTGCTTGCAATTGCAATTCTGGATTCTAAAAGTTAAGAATTAAAAAATAAACCAACACAATTTTGTGGAGGATGCCAAAAGGGGTGGGACAATTTGGAAATGAATGGAAGTAACCTGGGATAATATCGCTTATCCAAAAGAAAGGAAAGAGAATAGCTTGGAAGCTTAGAAAAGTAGTATCACTAAATTCAGGGAAAGAAGAAAAAAATGGCTGTGGCAGATGCTTGACAGTGTTGAGGTTGTTATTGGTCAAGAGTAACTGAGAACTTGCAAAACAAAAAAAAGCAGTGTAAAAGCTGAAAATGAAACATCTTTTATTCGTGTGTACTGCTTGATGAATCCCTTTAACAGTGAAGAATAAAACTGTTTGATTTGTAGTAGGGGAATGCTAAAGTTTTTACAGGTACAGGGCTAGTGGGAAAAACAGGGAGGTGAAAATTTCACAGCATGTAGACTGTGCAGTGAACAAAATTTCTTTAGAGCCCCAAGGTCACGTAGGCTTGTGTAGCTTTTGGCTGATAACATCCTTTCCTGCCCCCACCCTGCTCTGGACTGGTTCTTTTGCTGTCCTGCAGAAGAAAGATTTATTATTAATAGAACAACTAAGAGGTTTTAAAATAATTTTGTGATTCTGGCCATTTTTTGATATGGAAGGAGGAAAGCATAGCTAGATATATGCCCCTTGTTCAGATTGCCAGCTGATGATATCCGAGTACTTTGAAGTACATTTGTGTGCAGATACTCTTCCAGAGGATGGGAACTGGCCTGGTGGAGCCACTCTAAGTTTGTTACAGGAATGCTGATTGAAGATCCCAACTTCGTGCTATGTTTGACTAAGTCAAATATATAAAAACCTCCTCATCTCTCTTTCCCAGTAGTGCATTCTGGGCTGGCTGACTGTCATAGCCAGTTTTATTTTATTTTCATTTCTGGGAGTGTTGTTCCCCAAGGAGAATATAGAGCAATACCAATAATTTCTTTGTCATGTTTGAAACTGTTTCTTCTTAAATATTTGTAGTCCCTGCTGAAAAACAAAACAAAACATAATATTCTCAAGCTTGCATTTATATAACTGTGAGTATTGGATTTTTTTTTTAAGCATGTATGTTTGCTCACAAAAGGCTGGTCAAGATAGCAATGCCCATTTTTAAATTCAGTACAGACAGCAGCTCTCAGTAGCATTCCACTTACTGTTAGTTCAGAACAATGGAGAAAATTTTAAAATATGCATGTTCTCTGTGCTAAAGAAAGGGTACAATGTGCACAGGGTGAATATTTGTTTTGACACAGATTTTATTTAATACAGTATCAGTATGAAAGGTAGGTGTCCTTATGGCTTTCTTAGATCTCCATGGTAGATAGTTAACTTAAATTTGTACTCTAGCAGTAGCATAAGCAGAATGTAAACACTTGCAGTGTCCCACGTTACTTCTATTTTCTATTCTAGCGTGTTCCTTAACAAGCAGAGAGGTAAGGGATGAATTTAAAAATGCCCACTAATTCCTAGATGGAACTGTAAACACTTTTTTTATCTTGCTCCTAAGGAAAGCTGATTGTCTTTTTTAGGATTTTTTACTTGTTGTGGCGTATTTATTAATAGATTTGAAAACTACGGAACTAAATGATACAGAATCACAAGCTTGTTGTAGAACTTCAGTATAGGGATGGCCTACTTAACTGAAATTGCTATGTAGCACATGTAATATTCTTCTTTTTAAGGTATCTAAGAAAGTGGCAGACTTGATTCTTGAAAAACAGCCTGCATATGTTCAGGTAAGACACTAACGGTCACTTTTTAAGAGTAAACCGCTCCATTTTGTGCTATTATAATGCTGCACTTGTTTCATTGGGGATTAAATCTAGTAATTTGTTAGTAGAGATGCTAGTGCCTGGTTGGAACTAGCTGTCTATGTATGCTAAACCTGTGTGTGTAGAGGGAAAAGAAGCAAGGGTGTATTGAGCCAGAGGCCCTTAGCATGATAAAGGCTTTGGCATATGACCATTTTAAGAAAGCTTTCTGAAAACATGAATTCACAGGCTTGGCTAATACCTGTAATGGAATTAACAGGAGCTTCTTTAGTGCCTGTGTTTAGGAATGGTTTCACATCTTTTTCCGTAAAAGAAAACAGCAATGACCTTTCTTAAGAGCACTTAACCGGAAACCTGCCACTAGTTTCAGGCAGTCATGAGAAGAAAGCATCTAAGAAAAGACTGAGCTGGAAATAGAGCCTCAACATGTCAAAGATCTCTGAGAGCAAAACAAAGCAAAACTGCTTTAGCTGCTGGCAGTAGCATATTGGCATGACTTCTCTCCCTGCTCCCAAAACATAATCCCAAAACATAATCCCAAAACATAATCCCAAAACATAATTGGAATAGCTGTCATAATGATTCTCTAAAGAGAAGGTGCTTTTTTCCTACCCATTTATTTTTAATAACGCCCCTATATATTTAGTCAACTCTGCCTGATTTTATCTGGTCTTTCCAGGAAATGACAGTGAAAATTCTGCAAAGTGAAAATTTGGGATTGTTATCAAAGTAGTCTGAGAATTATTCTGTGGTTGATAATTCTGTGTATGAAGGACCTTGCGTAAGCATTGTCATACCAGTGATTATGGCAATTCTCATTTTGGTCAAGAAGCTGGAGAGCGTGTGGGAGGGCAATGATGGCTGCATTTGGTGGGGGAGGTCTCTTTTTTTTTTTTTTTTTTTTTTTTTTTCTTCTCTCCTCCCCTTTCTCCTCTCCTCTCTTTCCTCCTTAACCTTCTTCCTGTTACATCCCTCCCTTCCTAGCCTCCTGCTTCTCAGCTGATACGCTGTTGCTGCAGGCTAGGGCTTGTACCGCCTGAGTGTTAACCCACGGTAGATGTCATGGAGCTGGCATTATCCTCCTCTTTCATCCAGAGGGCATCCTGTTCTGCTGGCTTGCGCAGATGGCCCACACATCAGCCTTAGTGACCTTGCGAGTGTCCCGTCTGTGCTCTGGCATTTTGCTGGGTAGAAGGAGGAGTGCTGCTGTTTAAAGAAAAATGTGGGGGTGAGCATTGCTTGCGTCATTGCCTGCAATAGCTGGTGGAAAAAAAAAGCTGTAAGGGTAATATTATTTCAGTTTTAGTTAAAGGAGGGAGACTATTGCAGAAGGAGGCTGGGTAAGTGCCACAGTGGTCGATTCTTCATAAAATAGTGTAGAGGGGGGCAGAAAGGGTAATTGTTCAGTATCAAATCCTTCTGGTATAGTTTCGCTGTTGTGCATGTTCGGAATTGATGTTGTTGAGAGAGTGCTGCTTTTTCTGAATCCAGCAACTTCACTTTGAAAACCCCCTCTCGATGCATAATACTACTGTGGAGAATGTACTCCTTGCGTTTTGCTGTGTAATGTTAATATTCTTATCCCGGCATATTCTTTATACCAAGAATTTCTTTCAGATATTCTAAAAGGACAGTTAAAAGTCCATTGTGCCAGTAAGAATCTTTTAAAAACATTTCTCAAATGCATATTTGCCTGATTAAGTAAATAATCCTTCAGTGTTACTTATGGACACAGGCTTGCACAGAGTTATTCTTGTCAGTAGACTTACTTATCAAAGATTTCTGGTGGGCATCACAGGACTCATTTGCCCACTGATTCATGAAATGAACCTCCTGATGTGCTGTGAGTACTTTGTAATGGCAGCTCCAGTTCAGTGTCCAATTACAGTAACAGGTCATTAGAAGAAGCGAAAATGCAGTTGACTCTTTGTTTCCTGGACACATTGTTTCCACTGTGCAAAGGAAAATGTGGGGAAGTCATGGTTCGCACCCCATTCCTAGTATGAAGTACTGGTCTAACAGGCACTACTATGGGCTGAGAGAGGCATGGCATAGACACAAGGCCAAGGGATTTATAGTTTTCCCTTCTCCTTAGAAGGAAAGTCATGCTTTCGGAACAACCAATGGGTGGAAGATTGTCTTTGAGAAGAGAAAAAATGTATTCAGCCCTAAATGCTGGATGGAAGACTCCCCCTCTGGGGACCATTAGGTCGCACTTTCTCCCTGTGCCTCTCAATCCAGTCGCATTCAAAGGAGAGATTTTACAGAATCTTTGCAAGAGGCAAGGCTGGAATGGAGTCGCTCCTTATTGTATGCGTTTCCTCATGAAAAAGGAAGCAGTGGCCTTTTGAATAGCTCTGACATTTGCAAAGTATGTTTTTAGTGAGAAGTAGGTACGGAGGAAAATAATCTTTGAATTTGGTTTCTTAAGATATTATGTGTATCAGCAGCTAAGCTGTCATTTTTCCAAAAGCAATGTTGTTAACATAAAGGAAGAACTGTTTTCGGTGAAAGATGCAGCTCAGTGATTTGTCAGAATTACTTGTATCTTTAGAGGCTGACCAGAAGCTGATCTTAAATTGAACTAAACTTTAAACTTGTTTTTGCTTGTCATGTCTTTAGAATTAGTTTTCAAATTGAAAGTCTCCTTTCTCCCCATCGAAAGCACTTGATATGTTTTGAAATGATGAGCAGTATTTTAAAAAAAAAAAAAAAAAGTGGTTTTTCCTTTAGCGCGGGGAGAGCCTTCACTTTTCTGCAGTGCTGTTCCTTACAAAAGAAATCCTAACTGGTATATTTTTTTTAAAGGAGTTGAGATTATACTAGGTGCTTCACAAAGTCAATCAAGCTAAATTCAGGTCATCTGTGCTGAAGGGTTTTCAGCTGAAATTCAACAGGATACAATTAACGTTCATTATGAAGTGACATCTATTAAATTGGTAGAATACAAGTGCTTCTAAACAAGAAAATGCTGTGTGAAACATGGTTTTTTTTTTGTTTTGCCGCTCTCTGGCATATTAATGCAAATTAAACCCTGTGCTTCTGTCCCTGAAGCTTTGATCATTTTGCTGTGGGGCATTAATGGTATAGAGATCCTTAGGCTAAATGCACACTATATAAATGTAGAGGGTCCCACTGCAATGAAAATGGATTTCAAGTATTTTTCTTCAAAAGAGAATTGTATTTTCGAAGGTAGTTTGTATTAATGTTACATTCCAGTGCTTAGCATATATAAAATACATATACAAATAATATATAAAGTTACTCTACAAAGTCATTATAATATTTCAAGAGAAACCTACTAATCACTAGTCTTCGCTGGTGTGTAGCATGACTTTAACTTGTGTATTTATTTAACCTGTTGTCTCTCTGCAGGAACTTGAACGTGTTACATCATTGCAGACTGGCCTTCAGTTAGCAGCTGTTATTTGCACAAATGGAAGAAGGTATCTTGCTTAAATAATGGCAGAGATTGAAAGGGGGAAAGAAGTATTTAAGAAGAAATCTGTAAACAGCTTGCTTGCTGATGATATTTCCTATTTATGTGCTGAATGGAATTAGCAATAGTAGTTAAAGATACTGAAACAAATACCAGCTGCTTTCTCTCTTGCAGCTCTCACTTTTTCAATTGGGAGTTCTCTTTAAAACAGGAACCTTTTGAGATACACCATTGACCCACAGACAAGTTCTGCAGAAGGGAGAATGTATCTTCTTAGTAGTCTGTTGGTATCATCTCAATTTCTAGGTTTCCCTAACAATGCTGACAATCTTATTTTCTAGCATGTATTTTGATGGACATGTTAGAATTTGTTAGAAATAAGTTTTATTTTACATATCGTCAAAGATTATGTTCATTTTTAACTTTTGCAGACACCTGAATATAGCAAAGGAAGGCTTCACACAAACTAGTTTGGGGCTTCTTGCAAATCAAAGGAAACGACAGTTGCTTATTGGACTGCTAAAGTCTCTGAGAACAATAAAAACACTGGTATGTACAGTTGGTTTTTTTCAATGGCAAATTATTCTTCTTCCTTTCTGTGTAGTTATCACTGTTTTTTTTTTTATTTTTTAGCAAAGAACTGATGTGCGTTTGAGTGAGATGTTGGAGGTAAGTCCCTGCCAGACTATTATAATTTGAAGCTATTCTAAGTCTACTTTTGTCAGTCATCTTAATTTTGTCCCTTCTTCTCTTCCTCTTGCAAACAGGCTATGGGTGTGTGCATGTGGTGAAGTGATATTTTTATTCTTTTTTTAAATGTGAGAAATACATCATATCAAATTAGATAGCCCCGTGCCGCGGGAGAGTATTTTCTGTTAAAGACTCAATCCTGCCTTTAGGTCTGCACACTGAGGCTTGAGTTAGTTCAGTGAGAGCACTGTGGAATCTTACTCCCCTCCCTACCCCCAACTTATACTTCTTTTCAGGCCTTAGCTTGATATGTGAAAGAAAAAAGAAGGTGAGATTTAGCTGATTGTTAATATGCTGGGTCTGGATAAAGTACTTCTACTGGTATATTACTGTACAAATTTATATATGGGCTCCCTACTTAGTATTTTAAAGTGTAGTAGCTTCTCTCCTTATTCATTGGGTTGGCTTTTTAATAGTCAGTTGTAGAAAACATTGCAGCATGCAGGCCATGACTGAAAATTCTACTCATACAGTATATCTACTGCCTAAAAATGCAGTAGATACTGCACAGAGCAAAAATAAGATCTTGTCTTAAGGTGATGAAATTACATGAAAGACAGCTTCAGGATTTTATTGACAACTGTATTTTAATCATGTAATGTAAAAATTTTGACTTGCTAGTTTGCCAAATATTTACAGCTAATACTGGATGGAATGTCATTATGATAATCCCTAGTTACTAAATTTGGAAATTGAGTCTTAATAATTGTAACTCTTAAGATTCTTTGAGTTTAATTCCATCTTGGGTAATACACCTTGTCTCAGCACACTTTCTTATTCTTTACCAAGCAAGAATGTATTGATTTACAGGCTGCATAAACATTGCCTTCTCCTCAGTAAGCCCTGTACAATGATTAGCTTTTCATTTCTGTGCTGTATTTTGTTGCACAGGAAATCAGCTCTTTACTGTCTACTGGTAGTTGTCTTGAGATAGAGGTGTGGGTGTTGCATCCACAGACAGACCCTAATGTCCGATTATTGTGATTTGCCAGTGATTTTTAAACGTTAAGGGCTGGAACTACCCTTTCTGGCTAAGTGAGGTTTTAGAGCTGTGCCCAGTGTCTGCTCCCAAAAAGGTATCCCAGATATTGGCCAATTTACTGTCTTTACGCCCAGAAGAAGTTAGTAGCTTGGCATATGCATGAGAGCTATTAGTAGCCATTCACAGAGGAACATTTAGATAGGGTTCCCAATTAAAAAAAGACGAGACACAAAGCTATAATAACTTACAGGGGTGAGCTGCATCTGGAATATGTTAGTAATATATGTTATGCAAGCAGGCTTTCTGATTTGAGCTCTGTTAGAATTAATGGAGCAAGTACCAGGTTTCCAATGGAGAAAGATGCAAAGAGCTGTAAATGCAGCAATCTTTTTAGACCAATATAGGGTTCTGTTTTCATCTAATGGATAACGTGTGTGGGGGGGTTTGTGTTTTTAGCTAAACTTGATCTGCATTAGAATGCTGCTGTTTAAAACCAATTTCATTTCAGAAACTCCTTTATGATAATAGCCGAATATAAATTGCCCTTGCATTTTTACTCTTCAATCAATGACTTTGGTATTCCAGTAACAGCTTTGTATTTGAGCTCTCTGAAGCATGTAATATAACGGATGTAATTAGGACAAAAAAGGGAACCTCTTAGATACTAAAGAGGGTTTTCCTTCCTCCAAGAGCCTTTCTGGCCTCATATCTAATAGGATACAAAAATAGTAGTTATACCCACAGTAGTGCCCATGTTCTGGGCAAGATCCTGGGGTTTAATTTTTTGTGTGTACGTTTTTGTTTTGATTTTGTCCTGGCATCTTCATGTACTTCCTGATTGATCCATCTACCTACTGGATATTCTTCTTATAAATTAGGACAGTATTTCTATTTTTTTCTTCTAAAGTATGTTCTTTTTGTTCTGGGGCCTGGTGTGAGCCAGTTGTCTTTAAATTCATTTCTTATTAGCTATAGAATGTGTCAAATTAAATAGTGTTTATTTGGGCATAATGTTGGAGTGTCTCCCTTGTCTCTTTTTAGGTTTTGTAAACTATGGCAACAGCCTGCCAGTTCCTGAACTTACTTCTTTCCTTGCTCATGAATAGATTATATTGTATTAACAAAGGTTTGAAAGTTAACTGGGAAAATGTTAGTTGGTTTGTAATAAAAACTTTCTGATATGTTTTGTATGAATGCATAAGTAAACAAAACAGCAAGTAACTTGCATAAGGTAATGTAATACATAGTGTTTTCAGATGTTGCTACCATGTTGTCTGTTTTTAATTCTAAACTGCTTGCACATTAAGTTCTGCAGTCGACCATCCATCATTTCCTTTAACTTTACTGTATAGACGTAAGAGGCAAAATATTTTGTTCTTAATGTTTATACATAAGCATGCAAGCAAAAATGGGTGTTGCAGTGTTTGGTTCAAAAGCCAAATTAGCCTTCCATTGTATTTTATCCTAAGGAAGAGGACTATCCAGGAGCTATTCAGTTATGCTTGGAATGCCAGAAAGCTGCCAGCACTTTCAAACACTACAGTTGTATAAGGTAAGGTGACATTGTGCAGATTTCAGCTTCTGTATGATTTATTTGTAAATGGTATAAAACAGTGATCATTAATTCTCATTCTCTAAAACAGCTTTAATTGAAATTTAATTTTCTTTAAAATTGAGGCATTTATAAAAGGATAAGCATCCTCAGTATCTTCCCCCCTCCCTGTACCACTACTAACCAGTCTTCACAATCACAATGCCATATAATTTATGTTTGGATTATGTCATTGTTTTCTAACTGTTGTAGTATGTTGGCAGGTGAAGTTTCAACTAAGACTGAATTATAACTGTGCTACTACCTGCAGCGTAGAGATACCTGAGCTAATTTTTTAATAAGCAAGTTTATATTCTGGAATTAATTTACCTACAGCAAGATGGCTTGTGGAGGGTAACTTACCCTGATTCTTGGCAATGACATTAGCAAGTGCAGAGCTTCATGCTGTCATGGAGAAATTGCTTTCAGAACCAGAATTAATTTGAATATCTGCAGTTCCTAGCTTAGAAAGAGTTGATGTTTCCATTGCTTTTTAGAAAGAAAAAAAAAAAAAGAATTGGGTTAACATTAAGTTCAAAATCATAATAGATATGACAATAAAGGAGTAAAATGAAGTAAATTTTCATGTTTCATCCACTAAGAAGATCATTAGATTAATTAGATTTTCTTTTTTGTGTTATTTTTAATTAGAATTTTAAATTTGTGAGTTGATTGATCTGCTCTCAGAATGCTCTCTGACTTAGAAGGACCAAAATCTATGAAAACACATGCTTTGCCTCCCTCTGTCCTTTAAATGTATGCTTTGTTGCAACTTCAGAGTAATTACCCATAATCCTCGATTTCAGTTTAGGATCTGCTTTTGAGGTATAGTTCTTTCAGGATCTGAAGATGCACCAAAAAAGTGTATGAAGTTAGAAATTGTACCTGGAAATAAGCCCCTCTCTATTCTGAAGTCAGATTTCAAAGCTGCTTTTTGCTTTCTTTTTAGTTCCATAAAACTTGTGTGTGGGTATAAATTGTCTGGACAGCCAACATTTGCCTACATATATTAAAATTTTGAATCCCTTCCTTATATAGTAGCGAATGAAAACTATTCTTTATTTATTTGAATGAGGAAAAATGGCTGTGATTTCCCGCAGTCCTTGACAATTCAGTTGTTGAGAAGCAAGATGACTCCTGAACAACTTTTGCTCTGCTTGACTCTACCTTCTGTAGAGAGATAGGTCTTGCAGTCTTCCATGCCTGTGTCTCGTCTATACTGTTCAGTAAACTCTGCTTAGTATTTATTGCTCTTTCAGATGCTGTGTGGCTCCAAACATTAATCTGATTTATTCTGCATACCTCCTGCATCTTTTTCTTTTGGAGAAATTAGCAACATTTATTCAGCTTGAAAAGGCAGCTGGATTTCTTAGAATCTTAACAGTGCTTATCTGGAAAACCTTGCTCTTTTGAGATTTAGGTTAAATTACACAGTTTCTTTGACTTAAATTCTGTTTAGTGTAAATGATATGAAAGTTTCTGTTTAATATTGAATCGCTTCAAGCTTTTATTGCAGCTTCAAAGTTTATCTCCACTATGTCCAGTGTAGCAAAATTTGGAACTTAAACTAACAGTTCAAGTTTTTGCCATTTGGAATATTTAACTGCAAAAGTCGTACTATTTTAAATCTGACGGCATACTGACAAGATATGTGACAAATACCTGTGAGGATTTACTTTGTTGTTGCACTCAAAAGGATATCCTTGCATCCAAGAAGAGTTTCTTGAAAGAAAGGATGATGACAGAAAAAATCAGCACTGCTACTTTATTCTGAGAGAGTTTTTTGAGCTTGTTTTTGTTTGCATTGTGAGAGCAGAAGGACATTTTAGCTGTGAATCCCAGCCACAGTGCATACATTTCAGTCTCTGTGCACTGATCAATACTTGATCAAAGTTACTTTTATTATGAAATTTTGTGATCGCACCTTCTTTTCCTAAATTAATCAGCATAAATGTAGGCTGTATTCTTGCAAACATCTCCATATATCAGATCTTGGTTGAATAAATAACTTATGAATGTGTCTATTTAAAATTGGTGCTTGAGCCCTCGCTTGAATGGGAAATGTTGTGGTTTAACCCCAGCCAGAAACTAAGCCCCACACAGCCACTCGCTCACTCCCCCATGGTGGGATGGGAGAGAGAATCAGAAGGGTAAAAGTGAGAAAACTTGTGGGTTGAGATAAAGACAGTTAAATAGGGAAAGCAAAAGCCGCACACGCAAGCGAAGCAAAACAAGGAATTCATTCACTATTTCCCATCGGCAGGCAGGTGTTCAGCCATCTCCAGGAAAGCAGGGCTCCATCATGCCTAATGGTTACTTGGGAAGACAAACACCATCACTCCGAATGTCCTCCTCTTCCTCCTTTTTCCCCCAGCTTTGTATGCCAAGCATGACATCATATGGTATGGGATATCCCTTTGGTCAGTTGGGGTCAGCTGTCCCGGCTGTGTCCCCTCCCAACTTCTTGTGCACCCCCAGCCTGCTCACTGGTGGGGGGGGATGAGAAGCAGAAGAGGCCTTGACTCTGTGTAAGCCCTGCTCAGCAGTAACGAAAACATCCCTGAATTATCAACACTGTTTTCAGCACAAATCCAAAACATAGGCCCATACTAGCTACTGTGAAGAAAATTAACTGTCCCAGCCAAAACCAGCACAGGGAGACAGCACTGTCGTGGGAGTTGAATGGGTAAGAAACATGTGGCAGTTTTACCTTGGTTGTATTTCATTTCAAAGAAGATCTTTTGAATTCCTCCCAATCCTCCTCTCCTGAAAGGAAAGAAACGTACACCATTCCGGAATGGCTCTGATCTTGGGGCGTTTGCTGGGGATTGTGACATGAGGGCTCAGGTCCCTGCACTGCCCAAGCCTCCCATGTCACCAGGTGATTGCAAGCTGAGGCTTACCTGGCATTAAGAATAGTGGAAACAAGGAACTAGTTTTCATGAGGATCTATGCTGGTATACAGATGAAATTAGTCAAATGTGATCACCTGCAATAATCAGGAAATGGTTTCTGGAGCCCAGGACGTTTTTCAGCCCTGCATTCCAGTAGTTGAGCAAGTTTTTCATGTGTGTGAGCATGTGAATTGCCTGGCTGAGGTGAAAAATCCATGTGTATTTTTAATTTAATTAGAAAAGGTAAAGAAATGCTAGATTAGCAGCAGCATGTTCATGACATTTGTTTGAAAGGAATCATAGTCCTGTGTTTATATGGTACCTGCTACCATAGGGCCTTTGTGAATTTTCATAGGACTTACAGCAGTACAATTGCTCAATTTGTTCAGAGACTACCTGTGCGTTGCATCATTTTTTGCTAATGTCAGCAGTTTCTATATTTTAGACCAGTTAATTTTCACATGTAGACCAACCATATGTTTATAGACAGGGGGTGATGGTCTATGCTATATCTATTTCTAAAGATTGAAAGAAGGAGTGATTCTGTGCACAGAACAAGGTTCTTACTGTTCTAATGTCTTCTTGCTAGCTAAAAGAACTGAGCAACAGGAAGTGCTCATAAACTCCAGCAGGAGATGTAGTAACATGAAATTGTTGTGGAGGCTTTTCTGTTTGCAGGTTTGTCGTATGTGGAGAAACAACACAGAAATATTGGCTGCTTGATTTCGTGTTTAATGCCAGCTCTTTCTGATACAGTTTTTTCTATTTAAAGCTTTCTTTGGAGGGTGTTGTATCCAGGTTATCTAACAGAACTGAAAAAGGAGGGGTGATGGGCATATCATTTAAGTGGAGAGAACGAGGTAGGGAAGCTAGAATCTATCTTTTGATAGTTAACGTAGGCCCCTTAGGAGAAGATTCAAAGCACAGAATGGTACGGTGATTCTAAAATCAGGTACGGTGATTATCCCATGAAAACTCTGTGCTTTCCATGCTGAAGAGAATATCCTGCCTATTTCTTGGTTGCTTTGACCCTTCCAAACAAAAACATAGTAGTCATATTTTGTGTCTTATTTTTCTGGCTGGTGTTCTGAAATTTTTAAAGTTAATTGTTGGAAAGAAGCAGTTGTGCCTTTCTTTGTCCTAAATACTTTCTCTTATGGTAGCTATTTTTGTTAATCTTTCTATACCAAATATAGCTCAGAGAAGTGAAATTATGGTTTTAAAAAGATTTTCTGAGAGTTGTGTAAGCTTAAATTCTTTTTTTCCTATAGTGTTTCTGTAAGGGGTTCCTGAGTTACTATACCATAGTTTGCAAAGACTTGATAGCCCTGATCTTTCTGGTTATGTTCTGCTGTAGGCCAGAGTGCCAAATCAAAACATTTAGAGCATGAGTTTCTTGGGGGTTGGGAATGCCTTTGAGTGCTTGGCTAAATCCTAGCAGGATGGGGTCTTGTCTGGGCCCTCTTAACACTGTTGCATTTTAAACCTAGGATAATGTCCTGCTGCAACAGATATTTTAATTTGAAGTGTTAGGAATACTGCAAATGCCTGCAGTAAGTGCCTTTCAGTAGTAACAGTAGTGTGGTGATGCTAGTCTGACACAGAAACAGCAGGTTAATGATTTATGATAAATTGCTGTATTGTGGCTCGGTAGCAGGCAAATATGTTTTTTGGAAACAAGAAACTTGGTGTGAAATGTTAATACGATCAGTAGTTTGATTTCAAACTTTTTTTTCTTTCATTAATAGCGAGTTGAATTCAAAACTGCAAGACACCTTGGAACAAATAGAGGTAAGAATTAATATATTGATGTTCAGTGTAAGTTAACCTCTGGGTACTAGAGCTTTCTAATGCAGTGTTATTAGCAATTACAGAACATGCGCATTTCTTTTCAATACCGTCTTTGGAATGCTATAGTCATTGCTATTCATGTAGCCTTTTGTGCTGCAGCCAACTTAAATGCTCTATAATATTTATCAAAATTATGAGCCCAGCTCACTAATTGTGCCCACTGTAAGTGCTAAAGCAGTCACATAAAATAGGCACATAACATTTGAAGTACTGGAGCAAAGATATGCTCCCTGTATGGTGAAGATGCACGGTGGTTTTCAGTCCATGAACTGCTGTGAATTCTTTAGACTACTCCTGAATAGCTGTGGAAAGAAAATTAGCAGCATGCAAATAGGGTTGTATAAGCTACACAAGAGATCACAGTTTCACTGGAAATTTTAGAGGTCAGCAAACTGGAAACTGCTGGATAGAGCCAGTGCTAAACCATAGAAAGTAAGACTTGAATAGCTGGGAAAGATGAGACTAAGACAGAAGATTAGTTTAAGTTGGTAGATAGTATTGCAAAAGCAAATGAATATAAAATGGTAAGTGTCGTGCTGGCAAAAAAAAAATCATGAATGATAGGAATTCTTTTAACTCCGTTACCAGGTAATTTTGAGCTAGAACTTGGCAAGCTTTTTGTAAGAAGTCTAGTAAAGTAGATATGTATAATGTATATGTAGTGCATGTAATGCCTACACATGTAATGCATAGCAGGAAACTGAATTAGCTATCCCAGCAGCTCTCTATGCCTCCGGTCATGTGCTTTCTGGAAAGTCAGATTAGTGCATGTATTATTGTACCTTGTTATTTAATTCCCTGTACAATTAGAACTTTGTTAAATTTCCTTCATTTATGCTTTTGTACTTTCGCTTTCTTGCAAAGCTTTTCTTTGTTCTTTTACTCTTTTACTGATATATGCTTTATTCAGAGCATGGCTGGTTCAAAAGAGCTAATGACTGTTTTCTTCTCACTCTCACATAGGCCAGTCATTAAACTTTTTTTTTTTTTTAAGGCCACTCAGCTTTCATTCCTATTGCTTTCATTTATGTGCCATTTATTCTTTGTGAGCAAACACTGAAGTTACTTAAAAGGAGACATGCATCTTTACTTCCTTCCAGTAACATCTCTGCAGAGCAAATTCTGCTCGTACTAAAATCTGGTAAAATGTGCCATGTTGGTTGGTGATAGCAATTCACAGCCAGCCAAATAATCATACTCAAGATTTTTATTTATTATTTGTGAATTTATAGAAATATCTTGTTTCCCTCCCGTGAAAGTATCTTATTTTCTACTGGAATTCTGTCTATACATATGGGAGAGTGTAAGTCATCCTGGGGTTCATAGAGTGTTCCTGTGAAATACATGCACTAATTAATATAGAATAATATTCTGCTAATTAATATTTTAATAATGAGTCTTCTCAATAGTTGGGTGCCTCTGCTTATGTTCATTCCTTTTTTCTTTTTTTTTTTTTTTCTTCCTGTAATTTAGGTTTTAACATTGATCTTACTTTTATACTATGTTACAAATAAAATGCAAGGTGGCTGTAGTAGAAGGAACCACTGAAAAATGTAGCTGAAAAGATTAATGTGCTCTGTATTTAAGAGCTCTGTTCATAGGCAGATATCCCTGTTTCTCTCTTTGTACAGCTGTTCTGCGTGAAATAAGAGAAAGAAAAAATTTTTTTAAAATCAGTATATGGCTGAGACTCAAATTGCTGAGTAACCTTTAAAGAAGTTCTGAATCTTTAGGTTGCTTGTCCTTTTACCATTTTGCTTAGGAAAAAATGCAGTATTTGGTTGTATTCTGCTCTCCTTTTTTGTGCTTAAAGAAATATTGATCTGCTTTTAAAAACCCAACAAAATAAAACATTCCCGCCCCAAAACAAACAGTGACAACCCCCAAACCGCCCCACCCCCATCTCTAGGATTAAAATCCATAAATATTTTGTGGTTAATTAAGTAATTAATGAAAATTTTCCAGTGGAGTAAGTAAAAGTACATAGGGACTAAACAAACATCTCCTGTGGTTTTTATTTGCAAGAGCAAGACTACGTTGCAAGATCCTTAAATAATAAGAATTGAAATGGCTTTAATGACCAGGAAGGAGAGAAAATACCTGCTAGCTGCGTATGTTATCATATGTTATTGATTCCGGTTTTCTTTTCTTGCGTTGTCGATTGAAAATAACTAGAGTTACGCTGTGTATCTCTGAATATATTACAGCGTCTAAGTAAGAATTATTTTATTAAGCTACATGATCAAATTCTTGGAAGCCTTATTAGTTAGTCATTAAGTATATGATCCTATTTTAGTTTTTTTTCATTCAGCACACATAAGAGATGAACCTCATTTATTGCAAAGCTGTTCAATATGCTCAGACACAGCTCTGATGGCAGAGCTAGTAAGTGTGTGTGTGTGTGTCTGTGCTTTCTTTTCTTCTATGGTACTGATCATTGTGCTGGTATAGTACTCTGTAAATGACTTACTTCACAATGAACTTTTAAGTTAGGTAGTGTTAATTCCATTTAATAGATGGCGGTCAGAAGGGTAAGAAGTCTATAATTGAATTGCTTGAGCTGAAACACCTGTGGAGCATTTTCTTTTTTTTCCCCAGATCTAGATTTTTCTTAGGAGTGGGAGTAGACCAAGTTAGACATCCCAGCTCTCCCATATGGCGGTGCTTCTAAAAGTAAACATCACTTTGAATTTGACTTCAACTAAGTAGTGTGCTTTTTATTGTGCTTGTTCTTGGAAATGCTGGAACTGTTTGGCGGACAGAAATTTCAGACTGAAGTGCTGCAGCCTGCAACAAGTAACATTTAAGCACCTCAAAATAATCCAGTAACGTACAGTCTTGGCTATTGTACAAGCATAATTATTAGATTGCTTAAATAAGCATCTTTTTCGCACTTGCTATTGTTTGAGTAATGTATTACTTGGCCTGTTTTTATTAAGCGTTTAACACGTTTTTTCCTTCATTTATATAGGAACAATTGGACGTAGCGCTCTCCAAAATATGCAAGAACTTTGATATCAGTCATTATACAAAGGTTCAGCAACTTACAGGCTGCTTGGAAAAACACAGGTTAGTACTCATCTTCTGTATGTCGCAAAGAACAGTGGTGTAATAGCGTGAAGTGTTGAGTACTGTGATGCAGATTTATTTTCCTAATGCTGATGAATCTTGCTGAGTATACAAAGACTTTTATAATGCTCAGATAATTTAACAGTAATTGCTAAAGGTAAACTGTGTATTACTGTAAGATGTAGCTTTTTGGACATACTATAACTGTAACAGTTCCATATTTCAGCTCTATTTATAATGCTATTTGCATTATTAATTGTATTTGGGCATGTGAGTACTATTTTTCATAGCTGTTTTCATAGCTAACAGGTCCCTGTTACTGAGTTTGCACAACCTGTACCTTGTATTGTACTCAAATGCAACAGGAATGGAGATGTGAGATTTTTTTTTGGCCACAAAATATGACACAAGGCATGTCAAACCTATACTGTGGACACGTCCTAAAAGTTGTATCTCTGTATGCCTAGAGCCTTTTCTATGTAAATAGGAGTAGGTCTAAACTCTCCAATAGGATGTAGTTCTCTTCTGTTGGTGCACTGCCTTGAGGCTTAGGATGGTTTCTCTGGGAAGGCAGTGACCCTGTTTCCTTCTGAAGCATATAAAACGTGTGGGAACTAGTACCAAGCTCCTGTGAAGTAAAGGGGGGTAAGGAGAGGAGAAAGTCCTGGAGGCATCTTTCGTCAATGGTCAGTGTTCATAACATAGTGAGGCTAAACATGGTGGTGCCAGTGCAGCAATGATGTTTTGCTTAGAGAAGAGATTCCTCCAGAAAGCTTTAGCTGCTAAAGATCACGTCAAAGTGCCTGTCCCCTGATGAAGACAGGACAAGAACCCCATTTGTTCTTTATTATGCTTGCTTTTTTTTTTAATGTTGTTTCCCAGTATTCAGAAGCGTGGCTGACATCAGAATGCCTTTTTTGGGTTTGTTTTTAAATTTTTGTTTGATTTTTGTTTCTTTCTAATTAGAGCCTTCCTAGCAAAGTAGAGTTCTTTTTCCGTGGCTTGACTGTGGTAACAGTGTAGCTCTGCAATAGGATAGAAATGGATTTTTCTTCCCATACTTTGACAATGTGCGGAATTATTGGAGTGCCTAAAGACTGCAACGTAAAATCAGGGAAGAAGATAAATTAGACTTTTCCTTTATTAGTGCATTGTATGCAATTTCTTTATTTACTGAACAAAAGTAGATATAATGCATTCACTGCTCCGAAGTCTAGCGCATGATACGTTGAGAAAGGCAGAGTTTTTATTGGAGAGGAATGAAGTTTCTGAACAAAAGAAAAGTGTTATTTGTTACTGCATGGTTTTGCCTGCTCTGTTCTCATGATAGAGTGATTTGGTTTTGACGTTCTTTTTATTACTATTAAAGTATGTATTTTGAACTTGTCCTGAAAAGTTGCATCATTATTGAAATATCTCCCATTTTGACCCCTCCTCATTAAAAAAAATGTCAAGAACCTTCAGTGTCTTCAGTACTTTTCATGGTTTCATTTGTCATTCTGTTTTCTTTGACTAATTCAAGTTAGAACTAGCTGTAGAAGATTGGTTATTTGCGATAGGATTGAAGCAGCATTGCTTGTTCATTCCTTATGGGGGTAATTGAGTTCTCAGCTCTTCTCAGCAGCTAAGAATGTCCAATAGCAAGAAGCGAAACTGACCATTTTCAAATCTGCAGGATCTGATAACTTCATTCTGGCATATCAAATAATTTTTTTTATGAATTCTTATATACCATATATGCCGATTATTAGCATGTCTTGAAACAGTGAGAAAATTCAGTGTGTGAAATGGACTAATGTTATGTACAGTTTATTAACAAAGGATCAGGGAAACAGCCTAACCTGAAACTTGGGCATGATTATGACAAAACTTACATGTTATATAGATATCAGTGTTTAGTACATGTACTGATGTATTTTTTTTCTGAAAGAAGTAAGTTTTGTTAAACAAATGTCATATTTTGTTTTTATTGCAAAGAGGGTTTTTGTAAGAAATTTATTGGTGTGATGTGTGCATGCCTTTCTGTAACACTTAATCCTACTTTATATTCTTCAAGAAAGAACTTAGTTTGGCAAGTGGATGGATTGAAGACTTTGTAATTGTGGTTTGAGTTCTATAAATTGCAAGGGAAATATTTTTATTTTAGTTGGAAGTGTTTCCAGTAGGAAGAATAGCACTGATCTCAACCCATTTGTTTTTGACACGTTCATCAATGATTAGGAGGGTAAATGAATGAATGAGTAAATTCTGTAATTAAATATGTTATATACACATAAAATGAATATTTATGAGTGATAATGTCAAAAAACTGGTGACTTATAGAGGAAGGATGGCAGGGGAAACTGATTTTACTGTAATACCTGAACTCTTTTACGTTACCATATTGTAATATTGCAAAGTCCTATGTTACGTATTTTTGAAACAAAGATTGGAGGCCATGCTTACAATCTCCTGTGTTCAGTACTGAAAAAAACTTACATTAAAAGACTACGGTATATTACAAATTGAATTTTACTATTTGATTTTATGTTATTCCTTTTCTTTCAGACAGCAATGGACCAGTTACATATGCACTTCACTCAAGCCATTCACAACACTGTGTTTCAAGTAGTCCTTGGATATGTGGAGCTGTGTGCTGGAAACACAGACACCAAGTTTCAGAAGTTACAGTACAAAGACCTCTGTACAGTATGTAATTCTTGCATATATTTGTATTTTTTAATCTGAATTTTTCCACTATTGTAAGTGTACCTTATGTAAGTAGGGACTTAGTTATTAAAATAACCCTGCAGCTACTATAGTTTCTTAATACAACTCATAGGCTAATTGAGAGATTGGTTATTCATAACTTAATGCTGATTTTCATTGCACTGCATCTTAGCACTTTGGAGTTAGTGTACACACCCTTTAAATAAATTTAAACAAGTAAATCATAGGATACAAACAGGAGATTAAGATTTCAAAATTCCCATGTCTTTAGTGTAATATGCTAGTTACTGGACTCAGTATTAGCTTTGAGCTTTATTTCAGTGCGTTTCGGCTGTATTCACAATTTCTGTAATGTTGTATATCGGTAAGGATTCTTGTAAAGATATTAACTTAATTGGAGTCTTCCCATTACTCCTAATATTGTATCAGATTCATTGCACTTTTGGTGTCAAGATAAGGAACAGCTGTAATATTGAGATGCAAAAGCCTGATGATAGGCAGATCATAGACTGGGCATAACCCAGTATTTTCCTGTAGTATAGATTTTAGATGCAGTTTCTTGCATGTGTATATTTTGTTTATTTTTTTAAAATGTTATTGGAATGAATTACTGTATTTTGAGTAGTATTTTTAGTTCACTCTTTAATTCTTTCACTTGCGATCTTACTGTTAGACCCTGAGAAATTTTCTGAAACCTTGGTAGTGGGGAGAGAGAGTGCAAGATATTTTAGGTGGTTGTAACATTGATTTAAAACTTGAAATTATGTTTCTATCTTGAATGTTCTTCATTCATTTCAGTCACAGACTAAGCCCTCATCATACTTCATCATCTCGAGGACCCATCCCATCAGTTGCAATTTATTAAATCAAAGTACAGTCACAAGGAGATTAAAGAGATATTCTGATCCACTTTCTGCTCTTTCACTTCTCAAATCTCCTGGGACTCTGTAGCTTCAACTAGTAGGCAACACATCTGCATTGAAAACCATTTCATTGTGAAGAGGTGCCCCTTTGACTTAAAAGATTTACATAATCTAAGAGCCTTCATATGAGCGAAAGTGGATAATGAAAAATTAATTTATTGGGAGTAATTGTCATAAGTATTAATGAACAGAATGAGTAAGGTTCCAGATAGGTTGTATTTGCACTTCACTGAGATGATTTCTAGTTGAAGAAAGCCAACAAACCCTGATCTCTATTCTCCAGACTGCCGCCCTTTCGTTCTTCTGCTTTAAGTCTTCAGAGGGTGTTTTTGTTTTAATTTCTTAGTTTCTAATGCACTTTTCTTCTGAGATTTTTTTGCTTTATACTTCTGTATGCCCTTCAGTATTATTTCTCGTTCTTTGCTAATATTTATGATACTAAGCCCATTTATTTACATTTACAAACAGTACTACTGAGCTCCTCCTGGCATCTTCTAAAATACAGATTGTGTGCTCCTGTTAATCCTTACCCTTTACAGTGCAGAAGGATCTTTCAGATCACTGGAAATACCATGTTTTGTAATACACAGAAAAAGAGTGGCTTTAACTGTGTGGTTACAAAATTATGACCTCATTATTTCTATTTGGTTTTCCTACTGCATGAGATGCTGCTTTAGTTATGTGAGCCTGCAATAGCTGGAATCTGGCAGGCTGTATAAAGGAAGGTGCCCAAACTTTAAGACTATAATGTACTGTGAATAGCGCAGTAATTTCCTTGACATTTATTGAATTTTTAATTTTTCATTACTGTCTTGGTAACAATTAGGTATTTAGGGACAGGCTGCATGGGAAATTTTGGTCTCTGTTACAGACTGTGCTGTTCAAGTGTTGGTTGTTACCTGTTGCAGTGCATTTGTGAAAATCAGAGCACTGAATAAGCTGGACTATCATAGCAATTCCATTTCTAACTTCCCATAGAAAAAATACCAACAGATTTTCATCTCTGGCATTCAGTTGTCAGGGAATAAATTGTTTAAGACTAAAATATCAGCTTTCTTTCACTGTGTTTAGTTCCAGTGAGAACCCTCTTCAACCTGTCTACACTGTTAAGCCGGGATGCTCTTAATGTATAAGTGGTTACGGAGTGCTTATGCTAATTAAACAATGGAAGTCATGCAAAATTAAAGTCTTCCTTTTTGGGCAGATCTCCTGTTGCGTGTTTCTAAAAATCTTTAAAATCTTTCTAAATGAACTTACTTAGCTCATTTCCATTTTACATGGGTAGTGGGGGACTATGGTGGGTTTTTTTTCTTTGTTTTAATTTTTGTTGTTGTTGTGTCTTTTCTGGAAGTCAGATACTGGATTTTATAATAATGTGGGTTTTTTTAAAAGAATAACGTTTTCAGTAATTCTTAGCCATTTATGTAAGTTATGTGCCTGTGCACTCTGAGTCACTATTTCCTTGTTGAGCATTTCTTTTCCTAGCAATATGCCATGCTCTAACTCTTACCTCCTTTCTCCTTTTGAATACTACTGGAGCAGGGGAAAGTTCGGCTGCTTCATCTTCAAGTTTTGATTTTCTTTATTCTAGCATAACTTGAAAGAAATTCAGTTGTTTATTTCCTTAGTCTAAATGGAATTATCTTGGTATTTAGTAAGTAATCCTTTCTTTCTGGCCACCTGGAAGCCAAGTATGTCTTCAAGTACAGTGATCTGCACAACCAAAGTTTAGATTTTATAGCTACTAAAAGCCCTGAAATACAGTAAGAGTAACGTTTTCTGATGAGTTGGCAGAGGAAATTGCTGAAACAGCTGTTGAAATGACAGGGCAACTTATTGTTTAAATGATAAACTTATTACCCTATTTTGTTCCATCGTTAGAAAAGGTCTATAATATCTGAGATTAAAGTGTCTCAATAATGCAGTCAGTAATGTACATCAACTGTACAATTAAAGCGTGTTTTAGAAAAAAAAGTAGTGTTCTCAATTGTTACTTTTTTTATGACCAAGAACTTGACTTTCTCTTTTTTGTGTTGATGTGTCCAGAATGCCTAATTTATATCCTTGAGGCAGCTCTGGTTTGATAGGGAACAGAACCAGAATAATAATTCATTTAAAAAAAACCCAAGCAAACTGAAAAGACATAATGATTAATATAAGGCCTCCAGATACTTTTGCTAGTGACATCTGTTAATGCTAATGAACAGTTTTTGTGAGTCCTTAATTATAAGCAGAGTGTCAGAGAATATGGCTTGAGTGGTATGTGCTACTGCCAGGAGCATTATTTAAGCTTAGAAAGCAAGAGAACATGATTAAATAGAAAGTAAAGACATTAGTTTATAATTTTTTTTATGTGAAAGTTGAAAAATAGGAGGGGTGTAAGTGATGCATCTACATTTGTGAAGAAATCTGTCCAGACTAATGTTTATTATCCAACAAATGCAATATTCAAGCTTATCAAGGCTTTGTTGCAATTCATTGTTCAGGAAGGACACTCAATGTTTAGAATGCCACAGTTACATCAGCGGATGAGGATGCAATTCAGAGGGAATTGATTGCTTTGATTAAGGGTTTGCTCCCTATAAAATCCATGGTTGATTATTTTGGTGGTTATGTTGACATCACTGTTACAGAAGGTGTTATTATTTTCGAAGAGTTTTGTTGTAACTGTGATGCCAAAGCTTTTATATCATCTTGGATATACATTTTTGGGTTAGCATGCAGTACCCACATGGTAAAAGCTAACTAGCCTTGCGGAAGTCAACTGTGGACACTGAAGTTGCAATGGGAAAGTATGAACTGTTTCTACAACAGTGTTAGTTTGAAGTGCTAATTTCCAGATTTCTCTGAAAACCTTTAAATAATAATGTAATTGAAATCACATTTGTGCAGCTGGACTTTGCCCTTGTTTGTAAGCTGTGAGACTGTGCTTCTCACAGCAAGTGATACGAGGGTGACTTACTATTGCCACTCAATATATTTTACAGTATTTTCTTTACCCAGCGAGACTCCTTCTCAAATTCATCCCTTTACCTGACAATCTCATCTTAGATATTTCTACTGCGTATCTGTCTCTCTGATAAAATTGATACTCTTCACCTAATGCATATCTTAATTCACAATTGGCTCTTTGGAACAGGGTGGATCGGGGAGGTAGGACAGCTGCCATCTAAGTTTGTTTGTTTGTTTTTGAACTACTTCTTTATAAAGCATTCAATCCAATGGGGCATCAGCCAGGATTGCTTGTACGTACTACTGAAGTACAAGTATCTACATCATTGAAGTGACTCAGTGTCTGCATGTCACAGGGGTGGCTGCATCCCTCTTTGACGGTGAGATGTGCTGACCATTAGACTGGGTGGCTTTACTTCTGTGTCTACCTTGCTGTTCCATAAATATAAGAGACGCTTAATATATGGCCCAATTGAAAAACAAATAAGGCACAAACAAATAAACTTAGCACTTTTAGACAGCATTTGATTAGTTGGCTAAAATCAGGCATTCGTCAGTTCTCAAATACTTTTGAAAAGGAAACTGATATACGTCAAGCAGCTCAGCTGTATGAATATGCTGGGTTTTGTAGGTTTGTTTTGCCTCTGCAAAAACTGAACACAACTGTTAAGTTTCACAATATTATTTTGTTTTTCTGTAGCATATTACATCAGACAGCTACATTCCATGCCTTGCTGATCTCTGTAAAGCCCTCTGGGAAGTCATGCTCAGTTACTACCGAACGATGCAGTGGCATGAGAATCATGACCAAGATGAGGCAGCAGCTGTGTCTTCTGGTAAGAAACTGTTCTGGAAGCAAAACTTCTGATATTTGGAAATAACTGTTCTTATGCTCAAGTTATTAATCTATGTCTCCGTACCTTTGTGGTCTTGACTCAGTGCCTTCAGCATTATTGCTTATAGTATGCAGTAAGGACTTAAATGCTCACTGGATTTTTGTAGCCTTCAGTATAAGGTTCATTTTTTAATGATACGTGTATGTGCCACTATTACAGATATAAACAGTTTTGTTTTAAACAGTGCTTATTGTTGAATTGGAAGTCAGCTATGGTAGATGACTACAAAATCTGAGGATTTTTCCCTTTAATGTAGGACCAATGTGAAATTTCAGATTTTTTGATCAATGTTGAAATTTTTACTGCATATTAAGCTTAGTAGATTGGGATACTGGATTGTGTACTAGGAAAGGTGACTGAAACAATAGGGAATGAATCTGTTGTAAAGCTGTCGTTGTGATTTTCAGGAAATCCAGTTTCCTGAATGTTGTATGTCATCTATACTAGTGGATCCATCATAAGATACGGTCACAATTTCCTTGATACCCTTACAGGAAAAGGCAAACTTTTCATCTTAAAGTATAATTTTGCTTTTCTTTTCTTGTTGTTCCAGTTTGTGCTTTTAGGACAGAAGCACAAAACCTTTGTCTATTGTCTGTCTAAGTCCTCCTAAGTACATTTTGGTACTGTCCTCCTAAATCCTCCTAAGTACATTGGACGTATTCTAAATTAATATAAAATGTCTGAAGACAGACTTTATTTCCCCAGTAACCTAAGATGCTTGTGTTTTGCAGAGGGCAGAGTTCAAAATTTACAGTATTAAGATTTACGCAAAACTCCTATTTATTTGAATCAGATAGGTTTGCCCTTTTCTTACTGAAAAGGAGGCTTCTCTCAAAGAACAAGGACTGTAGGATTGCTGCTAAAGTTATTCCTCTGTGCCTGATTTGCATAAAAGTTGTATCCTTTACATTAGACGATAAGAAGAAAGGGGAAAAAAATTGGAAATAGAAGTAAAGAACAGATCTTGGAACACTGTGCTTCCTACATTGTACTTGAAATCCAACGTTTCTTTCAAAAGTCAGATTTATTACAGATTTTAAATCTCAAAAAGAATGAAACATGCTAATTAACATGGTCTTCCTGCTTTAAATTTGAAAAATTAATGAAAGTACTTTCTTCGGCTTGTCCTTCCCGTATTGTGTGGAATCTTAAAAAATTTTAAAAAATTGTAAAAAATGTGGATTTGTTGAAACTGTTATTTCAGATGAAAGTTTTTATAAGTATATCAGAATTAAAATTCAGAGTAGAAATATTTAATTTTGAGATGCGCCATGTGAAGAAAGATTCTGAAGTTTTGCGTGAATTGCCCATTCTCAATAATATTTACTTTTAAATTTAAAATAACTTCAGATAATTACATTTCCTTCTCTTGTTTTAATTTTCTTGTGATCTTTGAATGTGTAAAATAAAGCAGGTATCATAAAGAGTTTATTGCATGGAAACATTATCACAGTAGACTAGTTGCTTCAGCTCCAGATGTAATTTTAAAAATAGTTCCCCTTAGTGTGGTTACTTGTGATATCCTGAAGAAAGAAACTCATTTGCACTGCCAAACCTTTTAAAGGAACCATTAAGCCTAATAAGGTAGTATATTCAGTCACATGAGTAATTTTAAATACATTGCTTTTTAAATGCGTGCCAGAGTGTTTTGGTATGTTTACTACTAATCCACTAAATCTTCTGCCACTCAGTTTTTAAGTTTCTGGAGACGTTGTGGCTTAGCTATAATGTACAACTAGAATATATTTGAGCTACTGAATCACTTTTTCAAATACGTCAGCAATGATGAAGCACACAAAAGGGAATTTCACAAGTATAATTTAATTTCAGAGGGACTTATAAATATCTACCAAATGTCTGGTTTTTTTCTAAAAGTAACTGCTCATGCTGTAGAAATTATTAAACCTGTACATGGAAGTCTCATTCCATACTAACTGGTTTGATAGCTGTGCGATGTGCTAAAGCCAAAGAGTAAAATTCCTGTAGAAAGGACAGGTATGTCAGAAGGAACCATGGAGGCAGTTCAGGAGATTATGCTAAAATTGTTCCCTCAATTAAATCCCATAGATTGGAGCAGTAGAAGGAGCAGTCTTAACTGTTGTATGTGTATCTGGCTTTTATCATTTTGAGAACCCAAAGAACCCCGTATTTTTCTCTCATTGTGACAATTAATGTCAGCAGTCTTATAAAGTACCTTAAATGGGTCGAGGGACTCTTGATCTTAGGGAACAAACTGAGCTATAGAAGTGAGAAGCTGGACTTAGAAGGCATGAAGTACGTAGCTCTTTCTGTTTTAATAGTGAAGCTTATCCAAAAGTAGTTCTGCATGGATTATGGAAAGGAGGTTGCACTTCATCTAGATCGTGTGTCACGTATTTGTGATTATTATTGATGCCTGTTACAGATGTTAAAATGTACTTTGCATAACTTGTAAATAATTACCCTTCTGAAGAAAGAGGTGTGTCTGCTTTACATCGTTAAATATTCTGCTTATTTGTGTTCTGAAAATTAGTCTAGTTTGAGACTGAAGAGCAAAATGGAATAGAAAATACGTTCACAACAGGATTTTTTTTGTTTGGAATGTTTATAGGACAGACTTTGAGATTGAGGCTTTTTTCCCCCTAGAATTGAGTTCAGAATTTGCAGTTGTTCTATAAGTTGCAGTGTGGACTGGTCTTTGGGGATTACTTTATTTAAGATCGATTAAAAAAACCTTACTTGGAGTAAACTAAATGGAAACTAAAATGTAGAGATAATTATCTCTACATATAAATGCAATCCTAAAAATTTTTACAACATGAGACATATTTTAGTACCTTTCCTGAAAAAGAAAACACTAATGAGATTTAGTTTGCTGAAGTGTTACAACAGAGTAACAGTGTGTTATAACAGTAAATCATAGCAAAAGGTATGGGATTGATAGTTCTATGAATCATCAATAATAACACTTAACTAATTGCTCTAACATACTGTTGGAAAGATAGAACTAAGTGTTCATATGTAGGACTTGTTTAATCATACTGAAGATACAATTAGTCAACTAAAAATATCAACTCCTTAGCATGAAATGAGTTCTATGTCACATTTTATGAACTGCTACTTATTCTGTGATTTTGTTGTTTGTATAGTAAACAGCAAATTGCTGTGATATGGGTTTTCATCCCTGAAAATAAACTGCTTACTGGAAAATTTTCCATTGCACTGTTGGTCATGGTCAAAGCATTGTTTGTGTTTGTAGTATAGAAACAAAGAAAAAATGAGTTTTAAAGGGGTCTGTGCAGGTCATTTGGCTTCCCCTGCTCAAAGCAGAGTGAACTTCAAAGTCTCATTGGTTCGTGTGGGGCCCTGTCTGGTTCAGCTGGGTTTTCACATTTCATAAAATTTACTGTGACATTGATACAATTCCCATGTATTCCTGAGACACTGATTTAAAAGAACTGAAACTGAGCAGCAAAATCATCACTATAGCAATTAAACTCCTGATTTTGCAAGTATAATCCTAGTGGTAAAAGTTGGTAACAACTGTAATAGATTCACTGAAAAGCAAGAAGAAAATGATGTAAGATGTAAATTTAATTTCAGCCATTTTAAGTTTTAAAACATTCAGTTTATAATACTGCATAAATTCTGTGCAAGACCTGCTTGGTATTCGAAGAATGAAGCTAGAGGACAGTGATTTGATTGATTATTTTTTCTCTTCTTTTTTTTTTTTTAAATTTTTTGGTTTTTTACCATCTGCCTAGCAAGGATTAAACAAAAACCTTTTATTGTGACTCTGGGCTGCCTTTATGAACATTAAAGAAATACTGAGAAACCTGAAAAATTACTGTATTTAAATCAGGCATCTAGAAGAATAACTCCTGGATGCTTCTGATTCATATTTTTGTGTGAAATTATGAATATTAATGTATTTTGCTACCTGTTCCAAATTCTTCAAAGCAAAAACTGCAAATGCTTGTGGATCTTTGTCCAGTCCTTGATTTTCAAGGAAATTATCCTAAATTCGTATGTTTGCGTGTGTGAAATTAGCTGCAGTACAGTTCATTAAAAGCCTGGAAACAAGACCTCTTAGCATGACTGGCCGTAAACCAGGAGCACCAGGAGATTGCCGGAGAGAATATTGCATGGATTTTTATTGAACAATAGCATGCATATGACTTTGTCTGTACAACCATTCCTTCATAAATGGCAGTTTGTAAAGACAAGGGCTATGGTCTTAGTCTTGAGAACAGGTCAAAGATACTGACTCGTTTAAGCTTGGCTTCACTCTGCAGAAGTGTAGATGAGAGGAGGTTGCAAAAACTTCTAAAGAGCGTGCTGTGACTAAAATAGCTGTTTTTGTTTACTTATATAGTCAGAGAAAGGATAAATCCATTTAGTGTTTCTCTAGTTGGATTATTCTTTCTCTTTATATTTCGTTTAATCTTCCATGATAAACCACTTTTGAAAATGCATTTGTCAGAATTATTGCTTTCAGGAGAAGAGAAGCATATTTAGGTACAGTTACTAAACTATAATTTACGTATACAGTGACTAATATTTGTTTTATGATTTTTCTTTCATAAGGAAAATTTTCTTTGAGTGCCCTGCAACAGTAGATACAGTATGGAATTATGTTTGAATCTTGTTTTCACATCAAGCAGCCTTTTATCTTCTCATTTTGAGTAATTAGGGTAAATTCTCAGTCAACCTGCAAAAGCAGTCTCAATGACTTTAAACAGGAGACAGTTGAACACAGCTTTCCAGCCTTGGAAGAAATGAATATAAGTCCAAATTCCAGAATATGTTTTATTATGTTTTTGATTGTAAGGAGGAGTTATTCAATTGGAAGTACCAGAGCTTTTACATCCTGGCTGCATATAGTATTGTACTGGTTCTGTATTCTTGAGGTCTAGCCTCATGGGCAGACTAATTTTCACTTAACTGGCTTGAAGATTCTTCTTGGTAGTGTTCATATGTTTGCCATCATAACCCTAGCTCACAGATGAAGCTCCCTCAGTGTTTGATAAGGATCATAATTTAATAACATGTCCAGACACACCAAGTAGCTCCACTTGAAAGAAATGAAGCAAGGCCAGCATCCTTCTCAGTAACCACATTCCCCACATTTGCTTAATTTATATGGAGGTACAGATGTTGAGGGTTTCGTATTTTTGTTGTTGCTATTATGCTTATCCATTATATAAGCATTCATATAATAGAATATATTCATTCATTCATATATTTAGAATAATTTTTTTTTTTTTTTAATTTACATGGGCAATGCAATAGTTCTTGTTCTGAGAAACATACTCTGAAAAAGTTCAAAGCAGAAAACAGGTGGTTGATGGGGAGAAGGAAGATGCATATCATGCTCTTCTACTTAGAGAGAGTCTGGCCTAGGACTGGGAGTATGAGACACTGGTAAATGCTAATTAGGATTAGTGATTGTTACAGAAGGAAACTCTGCTCACTTGACAGCGAGCACCAGATGATCTGAACAAAATATGGTCAGAACATGGTCAGACTCTGCAGTGCTCTTTTGTATTTTGGTTTACTTGAATTGTCAGTATCTGATACTAGTCATAACCATTCTTGTTCAGTGGATGACTCTTTCCTTCCTCCTCTTAAATATGCAGTAGTCCAGACAATGCTGCGGAGGTCTGTTCTGCACACATCTGAAAAGGTTGATTGAAGTCTTGTATCTGGCCTCCCATTCCTTGCTGGGCTCATTAGTAAGGTGCTCACGGTATTTACACGATATTCATCACCACTGGATTCAGGGCAAGGGTTGACATGGAAAGAGCACTTTTGTTGTTGACAAAAGATTTCTTAGCACTGGCAAATGGAGGGCAGAGGTAGGTCCTTTATGGTTTTGGACTCTTTCAGTAGGCAGCAAAATTAGACAAGAAAGATTACTAATCTTTCTGAGGAAAGTGAAATTAAGCCAGGAGGCTTTCTGGAAAAAACTGTGAAGCCTAGTAATGAAGAACTGCAAAGGTCAGTCAGGATTAGCTCTCACTGTGGTCCTGGTAGCCATCTAAGGAATACTGTTGTGACATGGATTCAGTATGCAGGTGGCGTTTCTGTCCTTGATAGTTTTGAATGACTGCGTAAAATCCTGTCCCTGCATTGGTGAGATCAGCTTATGAATGAAAAGCTGCTGGAGCTGCACCTGAGCCGACTGGCAGCATCACACAGTTTAACAGCTGAACGTGCTTCACAGCCATAGTGCTGTCTCCCTGGGTGGAAGCTGTGTGTAATCCCACTGAGGCAGTTTGGTCCGTGGCCTTGGATCGCTTCCGAATTCCTTGCTGAGGCTAGAAATAATTTTTTTTTCTTTTTTTTTTTCCCCACCAAATAACATGTTCCACAAGTTAGGGCTGGCCAAGACACTACTGCCAGTTGTTGCGGAGCTGTTAAATATTCTACTCTTTCCTTTACTTTCCTGTTTGCATTGTAGCAGTGATGTATCTACCTGGTCATGAAGTCCAACATGTTAAAAAAGAATCCATCTTTCAAGAATGTAATCTAAGTCAAGGATGTTAGACATGCCCTAGTCTGTTAGACATGTCCTATTGCTTTCCAAGTAGGCCCAAATTATAGATAGGGACTGTCTTTCCCATGGTATCATAAGGAACTTTCTTTTTTTCTTTTTTTTCCAGTTTTCTCTCTGGATTCCTATAGGATCTGGGCTTCGTGCTGCCTGTTCCTGTGAAGCCTAGGCAGCAGGGATGAGACTGCCTGATGCGCGTGGAAAATGATAGCTTGTGGCTGGGTGGAGCTTTTTGAGAGGAAATGCTGGAATTGGGGAAAGAAACGGGTTTGAGTTGGGAGCTTGTGTGTGGAGGTAGAGAGATGAGACCAACTGGGCCAGAAACAAGGGAGTGAATAGTCTTCTCAAGTACTGAAAAGTAGCTGGAGGTTGCAGAAAAGATGGAAAGACAGGTCTGAGCTGCACGGCAATGCTGGGGTGCTACAGGCAATCTTAATTCTTCTGTGTTTGCAACCTCTTGAATGATGGGGTAGAAGGAGGGCTGTACGCTTCGTAATATTCCAGTCTAATATGTTATGTGAATTTTTATCTTTCATGTCAAGCCACTAAATGGTTTAAGCTTTAAAGGACATGCATAATTTTTCTCCTTGTCAGGAACAGCAGATTTTTCTTATCATGGGGAAAGTTTGTATGTATAGTCTGGGTAAGATAGAGCTTTCCTGTTGTTAGTCATAGGCTGTGAAGCAAACTGCATGACACTGTGCCATCACAGACTGCAAGCATAAGCACAACTGTGTGATCACAAACTACATATAAAATACTACCTTCTCTATTTTAAAATGGAAATAAAATACATTTCCCCTATGGGGAGAGAGAGAACCACATACAGGAGAAGTTTACCATGCATTACAGTGCTTTTTTGGAAAGTGATCCAGTGCTGTGGGATTAAGGTTTTAGAATTAAATAATTTGGAAGAATGAAAGACACCTGATTCTGTGATTGACATTATATCATGCATAAGCATGGATTAGTATGAGAGGAGAAAAAAAAAGAAAAGACCATGCTATATTATTTGCATCGTTCATGGAAAAAGTTTCAGTATTTTTCCTCAGAGTTGCAGACAGAATTTACTGGGGCAGAAAGTTAAAAATCTTGCTTCTGAAATCTTTAAGTTCATGATTCTTGTCTACAAAGGTACAATATCTCAGAGAATCTTGTTGTAGAGGATAAGCAGTGCTCATTTCAGCATTCAACTTTATCTTTTGTATTTGAAATATCAGTATCTGTTACTCTCATCTTTTTTGATTTTTATTGAATGGGGTATCTTGCTTACATAAAAGCGATTAGAAGCTCTCCTGGTCTGCATTAGCATGTAATATATATATGTGCTTTATTCATTTCCTTTCAAAAGTTTAGAGCAATGGACCTCTCCTGGACTTTGCATAATGGATAATATGATAATGACTAAGGCAGAAGTTTCATTGTGGGTAGAAAACTAGGATACATTTCCAGGCTTTTGGAAATATCTACAATTCCTTTCACCTTCAGTTTCAGATGGCAGCAATGTGATTGGAACTGAAGAGAACAGTTTTGACCGCAGCTATGTAAAAAAGAAATTGGAACATGGGCTTTCACGAATATGGCAGGTATGTTTTTTGATTTTTTTCCTAAATGCTTATCTCCCCCCTGGTATTAGTTACAGTTATATTTATACTGATCTTCTTAAAGAAATCTCTCCAGAGTTGTTTTTTTTAACAGTGATTTGTTTAGAGCTAAATATATCAAAACCATGGAAATACAATTTCCGTGACTCAGTTACTACTTGGTCACTACGCTTACAAACTCAGTCAAGATACCAAAACATAGTAACATGACTTTCAGCCTGATTCCACTTCTCCCAACCTGTGTGCTGCCCCACAATCTATTTTCTTCTCATGTGCTTTTCTCTGTTAGCACAGTCATACTGCTTTGTGTTTCTGGTATAACGATAGCTATGGAGAACCTGAAGTCTTGTGAACCTGCCTGGTTTCACAGTATTCCTGGTCTGACTGCTGGATCAGTTTGATGTGCAGAGTGAGACCCCAAATGTATGACGAAAAAGCTGTAAAACCTTTTACATGGCTGAATTGTAATCCAGAGCTCTGTTTTTGCAGTGACAATAAAGCATCTAGGACTGACTTTATGTTATAGAGTGTTAAAGAAACTGATGATAATATTATTTTAGAAAGTCAATGAGAAATCATTCATGTTACAGAAAATGGAGTCCTACCCTCAATCTCAAAAAGAAGTTTTAAGTGCAAACAAACCAAAAAGTGCTAATGAACCAGGCATCTGAGCCTTCACCTTTTTGTCTTTAGTGTATTAAGTATACAAAAACTTGTTTGTGCTTTGTAGGATGTTCAACTGAAAGTGAAAACATATCTTCTGGGAACGGATCTGTCTAACTTCAAATATGACGACTTCATATTTGTACTTGATGTTATCAGCAGGTATACTGATGTGGTCATAAGACCACTTAATACATGTACACAAACTTGAACTCTGATAAGACAGCATAGTTAATTAAGGCTGATATTTACATTTTGATGCCAACTTTGTTCATACGTACTGATAGTTCGAAGAGCACTTCTTTATGTAGGAGTTTATGTGGATGTGCTTGGGAGAGGTAGCATAAACTGCTTTGCTGCTCAAGTAGTGCTTAAGTGTGATATGATTTCAGAATTGTCCACCTTTAAGATTTCAGACATGCAGATCTGACAATTTTGATGTTTCTAAAAGCTTTTAAAGGGACTCTTAGTCAAGAGCAGTAAAATACTGTGGTACCACTAACCTGTACAGTATTATGTCCTTCTGTTTTGGTAATAAAATGATGGATTCAGACTGTGAGCTGTACAGCTTGCCCTGTGTAATGGGATCTCAAAATGACATTTATTTTGCTTGTGGCTCTTTGTCTCTATGTGTATGGGACGTTTATGATAGGATTTGGAAGGAAATGAGACATGGACTTTGTGGAATGAGTGAAGTGTTTGCAACTTAACATTGGTGCTCTGCTTTTATGGAGATACATGTACGCTCATGGTAATGATTGAGGCTTGTAATTCAGGTTGGAATAGCAGTATTAATAAATCAGTAAGTATTTCTAAACTTCATTTTATTGTTATAGGCTGATGCAAGTTGGAGAGGAATTTTGTGGCAGTAAGTCTGAAGTTTTGCAAGAATCTATCAGAAAACAAAGTGTTAACTACTTCAAAACATACCACAGGTGAGACTACTATATGTGCAGTGGATGAATCTAATGGCATTTATTTTTGTTGGATTTAACTTTAAATGTTTTCCAAAGGAATTCCACTGCATAATGTTCCTGCATTGAGGTTGACACATAGTGGAATATGTTTCGTGATGAGAATAGGGCTCTGAACCCTGGAGAAGGGGAGAGGATGGAGAAGCCTTTGCTTCCGCTATGGTTGTGGAAAACTCTAGTTCTGCCACAGACAAGCCAGATAAAGATGAAAAACTTTTTATGTAGAATTTTCAGTAGTTTTTCAGGCTGCGTCTTAGCCTGTCTTCTGGGATCCTGAGGAGGAATGCCTCTGAAGTCCCTACTTCCTAGCAAAATTGTTACTTCTTTTTCTATGCCATTACATAAAAAGAGCTGATTGTGTGTGGCTATGAAATGGTTTTTTCAGTATGCAATTTTGTTTTATATCAGATGAGATACTTAGAACTGAGTCCATCCTTTTGAGTCATGTTTTCATAGTTTTTTCATTGGCAGTATCTAATTATGTTTCATTCAACTCTACTGTCATATATGAGGCCAGTCATGTGTGCTGTCACGTGCAGGCGGTCTCTGGCCTCAGATATGATATATGGCTATGATAGTTTCAGGACTTGTCTGTCTGTTTGTTTTAATTGTCTTGATTTCCCAAATGTTTTGGTTTGGATGATTGACAACTCTTTCATTCTAGTTATCTAGCATTTATCTTCTTTCTGGGTGTAAAAAGCTAGGAAGATATGAGAAGAAATACAGCGTTCCCTGCTCTAAGAAACTCTTACTTTCCCAGTCTTGATCTGTTGTCTTCTGTTGTATGAGAGCTGTCATACAACTAATAGATCCAAACCCATTTGGTCTGAGACTTTCTGCCTCAAATCCATAAAGTATGAAAATTATGACAAGAAAACATGAGACACTGTCTAAATTCAGAAGCTGAGAACATGGTTTAGAATTTCTTCCAGCTTTCATAGTTTGTAGCTAGGATTTTTTCCATACATTTGATGAAGACCTCAGTTCCAGTTGTCTGAAAACCTTAAGCCTTAATCAGATGCATATTATGTCTGTCAGGAAATGAGTTGATTAAGATGCCATGCCACCTATCTTTATTTCTTGAAAGCATTTCTGAACCGTGGACTGATTTGGAAACTGAGCTTGCAGCTCTCGGTTCAGAAGAGCTGTTTTGGTCTACCTAACCGTCTTTTACTACACTGACTTACCACATAATACCTTGTTTGGTTAAGTAAATATCGTTTTGACCATTATGGTTTTGCTTATGTTTAAAGGACCTATTTAACAGCTTAGGGAATCAGAGACTAATTTTCTGAACTATCTTTGAATAAAATAAAGGTTAAGGAACATTGATGGAATATGTATAGAAATAATAATTTTCTCGAAATAACTTGTGTTTTTTATTAAGGTAATATGTCTTGTAATTCTTGTGAAAATAAAAGGAGATACTTATTGATATGACTCAAATTATGTGAACCTTTTAATACTTTTTACATGTTTTATGCCGTGTAGGTATTGTGAAGATTAATTGGCTGATGTTTTCATCCTCAGAAGGAAAAATACAAAAAAACCTCTATCCCAGCTATATACCTCAGGTTCATTTATATAAAAGCTTTAAGCATCTTGCCTTTTCAGATCAAGCTAATGTGGCTTTCACTCCCCTTGTGTATTTAATTGGAGGAGGGGAGAAAAAAAAAAAGCTAGTGCTTTTAGGATTCATTAGTACATAAAAGCTACATAGAGCTGAAATGCTCAGAGTCCAGGAGTAATCAGTTCTTTGATTGTGTAGTTTGACATATGTGGCCTCCTGGGCGGTGTGGTGTTTTAGAGGACTGCCAACGTAGAGAAAGCATTCAAAGGAACTGTTCGTGTCATTCAAAAAGCGTAGAAGAGCAGTGTAATACTGGAGCATACATAAGCCTTTTTTGGGTAAAAGTTGATTATTTTGAAAAATTAGAATGGGCTTTTGGCAGAGAACATCAGTAAGGCGATTTTTGGAATGCAATTTACTTTTTGTTCTGGTACGTTTGTAAAAAGGTGTGTCTGATCACTAAAGCTTTTCAGAGAACGAATGCATCAAACTTTCCATGTGTGCCACTTTCTAGACTTGTATGCTGGTGAAAATAAAGAGCATTTGTTCAAGTACTTTGTCAGTGCCTGGATTTCAGCTTTGAAATGATACAAAAACTGGTGCTGTGCGGATTTTAAATGTTTGCTTTTCTATGACTCTTTCTCCTCAGTCTTCCTCTCAAAGAATTTTAATCTGTAACGCTGATTTTCACAGCATCTCTATCTGTTGTTTCTGTTGGCTTTACTTCGAGATCTGCAAGCTACGGGTACTCAGTGCCTCGAAAATAGCACTTGAAGTCTATTTGCATTTAACTGGTGAATTTAAATAGACACAGCAAACTGTAGTCATAATTCAACAGGTTGCTCATCTTGTTGAGGCAAGAAAATTTTAATTTTAGTGGTGATTATAGTTTGTTATTGAAATAGTGGTATTTCTAGAATATTTTACTGCCTAATTAGAAACCCAGTGCATAATTTACCAATTGCTACTTGTTAAGCACATATATTAAGAAGAAAAGATACAGCAATGTGACCTCAATAAGCACTCATTGCTGTCTTTTCCTATATCAGTTCCTGCTTATGTGACAAAAAGATTTTCTTTATTAAAGGTATTTCTGTTTATGGCAGAATGGAGGCTTTTCTAATGATTGAAAACATAACAGAAACAATGCAGAGATGTAATGGCTTGATTATGTTTCTCTAATACGTTTTCTATATTAGTACCAAGGTAAAGTTAAGCTATGAAGAACAATTTAGCTTAGGAGATTAATAGCCATTTAACTTTTTTCTTCTCTGAAAAGTTGAGATGTCTGTAGAACATTAGTTCTTTCCACTTCCCTTTGCTACCTGTTGGCTTTAGTGTGTTTGAAAGAAGCATCTATCTTGTATGGGCTCACGGAAGCTGTTGTACTGCTAATAGAGTGTTTGTATATATTATATTGTTTTCTACAGTTTACAGAGAGGAAAAAAGGTCCAGTATTACTGCATAATCATAGATGTTCCTCTATACTTTCTAATGGTTTTGACAAAAAAAATTGTTTCCAAATTTTGGAGATTGTCATTCTTTGAGAATTTCTCCAGAGGTGTCATAAAACATACACTGTGTTAGTAGCCACAGCTTTTAGGGGGTCTGTCAGTTGAAAGAAAGAGTTAAATATCTGTTTTCAAGTGTTACTTTTTATACAGTTTTTGAAGGTGTTTTTCAATGCATAAGTTAAATAATTGTCTACTTCCTGATTTACTCTTGCTGCCAATTAAGAGAATTCATTTGTTGTATTTCAGAACCCGTCTTGAAGAATTAAGAATGTTTTTGGAGAATGAGACCTGGGAACTTTGTCCTGTTAAATCAAGCTTTAATATTCTGCAGCTTCATGTACGTTCTATGAATAACACATACGTATGTATTAATACTTTAATAGCTAAGAGTCCAGGTGTTCTGAAAAGTAGTAAGCGCAAATGTTTTTAATGGCTGCTAAAAACCCTTAGATTTCACTTCACGATATTGGAAACTTAAGATTCAAATGCTTTTAAAATAGTAGTGTTCCTGTTTCAGGCAGGTAGAGGTTTACAGAAGATGCTAGAGTTGTAAGCATAATGTTAGTCTTTATTTTTCATGTTTTAATGTGCTGTTAATAAGTCAGTTTTCCATTTCTAAATTATTTATCTAATAAATAAGTAAGTAAGATGCAGAGTAAGAGAGTAAGATGCAGAAAGATGAGTGCCTGAAAGTAGTCACATGAGCACTCACTAGCTTGTACCAATTTTTGTCATCTATTTCTGGAAACATAGGTCATACTAGCTCATTTGGAAAGGAAAAAAAAGTTAATTCTTCTGCAGTGAAGTCCAACTGAAAGCTCACCTGCTGTCCTAAAGTGAGTTTTGTGAAGTTTAGCACGTGGTGGGTGAATTTCACCTGTTTTGCCAAATGAAATGTGGGTGCCTATGATTAAAGCTATCATTAAAGTGCAAAAATGGAGCAATCTCAAGCAAAAGATAATTTTGCACTTCTGTAGAGTTAACTGTAAAAGTAAGCAAGAGGCTACTGCAGCAGTAATAGCACGGATGGAAAAGGAATGAGGACCCTCAGTAGCATCCAGTAGCAAAAGAAATAATATTTTTAGTAGAGAAATGGGATTATAAATCCATACATACTGCTCAAGGGACTGGAGCAGCAGAAAATGGCAGAAAGTAACTGATTCATTTAAACAAACAGAAATCTAACATTGCAGTCCTCTTAGCTGCATACATTTTGATCTTTAAACCTTTAGATAAATGATAATGTGTATTTTGCCATTTATGAAGATCAATAGCTAGAGTTTAATAGATAAAAATGATACGTCAACTGAGATAAGTTAAGGTTTTTAGAAAAAAATGTCGAAAATCATACTTTATGTGCCCTACTTAGTCCATGTATTTGCAAAAGTCTGTGTACTCACCCAATCATCAGAAACTTCATGTGCAGTGGGTTTGAAAAGTAACAGATTTTGAAAAGAACTTTTTAAAAATAAAATATTAAGAAAAAAATTTCAGCTTTAGTAAATTACTAGGTAACTTGTGTAAAGAAAAGTACATTTTAAGATAGAATTTAGGTCTTGTTTTATCTCCTAATTTCTGTGAAATAAAAAACCCACTTAGTTTTCATCTATTTTTAGACAGCAAATACTTTCAGAATGCAGGAGATGTATTGCATGTCTTAGTCAAAAACTGCTAAAATTAGAAAGACTAGCAGTGTAAGATTGGTAATTTCAAGGTTAACTTGAGCCAGCATGAAAAGCATGTTTAAATAAGCAGCAGGCTTTGGCTGAAATGTTCATATCAGGTTAATTCTCCACCAGTTTGTTGTTATGCTCTGTTTTTATGGAAATGGAGTCATAATAATACTGAAACTGTCTTTTTGGTGATTAAAATTGTACTTTATTTCTATTAATAGGAATTTAAGTTCATGGAGCAGTCACGTTCCCCATCTGTGTCACCTAGTAAGCAGCCTGCTTCAGCAATTTCAACAACACTAACGTTATTTGAGCAGTACTGTAACGGAGGAAACCCATTTGAAATTCAGGCCGACAGCAAAGATGATGAGACAGAAGACGTGTTAGCTTCCAATGGGGTATGGAGTGTTTCAGGAAAAAAAAAAAGAGAAAAGCAAATCTTGCTCTCAGTAAATGATGATTTATTTTGTGTATCAGTGATGACAAAATGTCTTAGTACAAGGATCAATTAACTGCAGTACTGTGTAAAATCTCAAGCCACTTTATTCCTTTAATTAGGTAGGTTGCTTTGCTTTTAATAGTGCCAGAAAGCCATGCATCCTGTTTAAAATTCAGTTTGTTTTGTAGCGGATCAATATTTTTTTTCCACTGAAGTCAAGTGTTGCTGAAGGCTAGCAAGAGGCATGTTCAAACTAAATTACTGTTTTTCCGGGGGTTTAAGTTAGCTCTTTGTGGAAGTAATTTTATCGTTCTAGGACTGGCTTTCTGGCTTCTTAGGAAAGAATCATTGTGGGTTGCTCCTTCTGTTGTATTTGTTCACACCCATGATTTGCCATGGGTTATCTGATGTTTGTTAGGCAGTTTTTAATTGTAATTTAGATGCTCAGAACACTCGCTTTATGGTGGGATTTACTGTAAAGCTGAACAATAACTTTGTGTATTTTTTTCAGAATTCTGTCAAAATCTAGCAGTGGTCAAATATGTTTTAATGTAAAACTTTGTACTATTCTCTTAAATGCTACATTAGCGTATTTTTGTTAAAGCTTTTACTCTTGTTTATCCCTTTGATGAATAATGTTTTCTTGGGCTTTTTTTTGTGATAAGGTTGGGTTTAGGTTTTTTGTTTAAGGTTAGTTAATCCAGCCATCACACTAATGGCTTTCTGGTTTTCAGCTTTGTCTTTCTTGCTTTCCCTGTGGAACTTCAGTTGCAAAGCAGCTTGATCTGTATCTCACACATCTGAGTGTGATGCTGCAGTGTCTTTCCTTCTGTGGGTGATGCTGCAGTCTCTTTCCTACTGTGTCACTTGGAGAGAAAATACATTTGATTGGCATAAAATGTTGTTGCATTGTGCTTAAAGGAAGCTGCTGGAGGGCCAGTTTCCTGGTGGTAGTTCTTCCCCTGTCAAGTAATACAGCAGAACATATGTCCTGCCTTTTCATATCAGTAAACTGAGAAGAGTTGCCTATTAGACTTATACATAGATACCAAATGAGCATGTTAAGCAAAGATGAATGTGCTGCAGGGCATGCTGAAAACTGCAGAATTCCATGGTACTTTGTAGAAACCCATTCTGAAATAAAGCTTTTGGGGCATTTGGGCAGCCATTTGGTAAATATTTGCTAAAATGATCCTTAGTGACGTAAGGATTAATGGTGATACCAATAGTATTTCGAGGTTTTAAAAGTGAAAGCTCCCTCTACTGAAGAGTTAATTTCAGACTTCTGTATATGTTTGTGAGTAGTTTTGCTTTTTAAAAGATTTTTCTGAAGAAAAAGGACTAGAAAATTAACTTAACTTCGGGTTTTTTGGTTTGGGTTTTTTTTTTTCCCTCCAAGACAGCTTTCTTCTGAAGGTTTGACTCTGTAACAAATGTATAAAGCCATCATGACCTGCACTGTGGCTGCAGAAATACATCTTAAATCTTGCAGGATATTTTTTGCCACCATTTGCACATAGAATAATTAGGAAGGTGCAAAGTTATTTTCCAAAGATGATATTAACTGGCACTACTGAGACTGGATAATATCTCAGGAACAAAAAAGAATAATTGTTGGAATATGATTTCAATCTCCTCTGATTGCTTGCAGGTTGCTGCTAGCAAAGGAGTGCATACACTGTCCCCGTAATTTTGTGCAGTGACTTGTAAGCAGAATACTTACACTTGTAGAAGGCTAGAATTGTCTTCATTTCTTGACTGTGGATATATTGAGGAATTTTTCTGTCAACCTGCACACTTGTATGAGATATGAAAACTTTGCACACAGGTTAGAACAGAGTTGCTTCGGTCTTTCCAGTTGGAACATTTTACCCTTCAGAATCTGTTTCTCCTAGCTCAAGTAAAATTTAAATGACATTGACTTCCTTTGCATTAAACTTTTGCTTCTATAGTCATGAAATCATTTGATGAAAAAATTAGGTAGCAAATACTGATTAACATGTTGGAGATACAGTTTTGTTGGCTTTTGCCAGCCTGAAGCATCATCCTGCTATCACTAATACCCTCTTCTATCTTCAGTTGTATATTACCTTCTTTTCCCATTTTCTCCAATGATGAACCTATTCGGAGAAGTAATAGAGCTTAAAAGAAAAAAAAAAAAAAGCTTTAGCTTTCTGTACAAATATAGTGTTTCAAGTACAAACTCTGCATGCAGTGATAGTTGCACAGGCATTGTCATATTATGTGATTCTCTTACAGCATCGCACTTCTGGTCGTGGTTAGCACAGATATTGCGCGCTCATGAGAGGTAATCGGTCCTGCAAGTCTTACTGGGATACTTTGTAACCTGCATGAGTTACAAAACGTAAATGTGTGGGATGGTTTCCCTCTATGTGTTCCAGAATTCTCTTGAGAAAAAGGCAAAGAAGCCACCCCACCCAGAACCACATTCTTTATTGTAACCGAGTAATAGCTAACCAGGAAGTTATCTGTTATCTTTGTTGCCTTATTACCACAGGGAGTCCATGAATTCGACCATCTAACCATGCTGAGTAAAAATGTCTTTTTATTCTGAATTTGTCTCTAGACATTGGAAGAAGTATCTGTATGTAGCAGTTACTGTTTTCATACTGGTTGTTCACTGCTGTCTAGTTTTTGAAGGTATGTGAGGCTCAGTCCTAGCCAGAGCTGAAGCTACTTAAGACAGTAAGCATTAGTTCATTAGTAAAGGATTGCCTCGTGCTTTGCACGTAGGTGCTGCTGTCGCTGCAAGCACCGTGGTGGAGGTCAGGTTCTAGTAAATCACTATCAGCACGCCAAATGCCTTCTCTGGTGCGGCTGAGAGCGGCTGCCTTGGCGGTTCTGCAGTGGCAGGCTGTGGTCTTGGTGAAACAGGCTAGAGGGAGTCGTGATCCCATGAATTACCAGTCGGCTGATGTGTTATCCGTGTAGCAAAGTCCATGTTGTGGTTTCCCTGTCCTTAATTTTGAACAGTGTCCCATTTGGTAGGTTTGCACATTGTCAGGGACTTTCGAGGCTGGCTGCACTGTTCTCTTTTTCAAAGCTGTGTGCCAGTTTAGTGTTCTTTATTAGTGAATCCTTAATATATTTTAAATTGATAAAATCTGATTTTGTGCCCGGTGAAGAACTATAATTGACCCCAGAGGGACGGAATGTTCTGTGTGTGTGAAAAAGTGAAATACCAATGATATGATTTATTATGCATTTTTCTTGTGAAGTATGGGTTAGATTTACAGTCATTCATATTATAAAATTGAGGTTTTTTAACTTTAAATGTAGTGGTATTTGGAGAACCTAGGAATAGTGTATAGAACTAACTTTTTTTTTTTTTTAAAAACTAAAATGTGAAGTTACGTTTCAGTTTGCTCAGTGTAATTTGAAATTGATTATGGAGGATGATGCTTCTGATTTTTCTTCCCTCCTTGTTGTGGGAAATCAGTTGTGGTGAATATTTCCTTTGTTTGACAGGTTTCTAGCAATGCTCTATATAAACAGGTTTATTCCATATGATAACTTGAGTTCAATGCATTGGAAAATGGGAACTAACTGCTTTTAATATTGAAAGGTGTTAAGTAAATCTGAAAAATCTTACTGAGGGTGCGGACAAGGGTGTTCAAAAATACTAAGAAGGCGTCTCCAGGTGACCATCCCAACTTCCCTTTTCACATTTTTCATCTCCTCTCTCCATTACTGGCTGTTCCAAAGTGCTGACACATAGAAAGTACTCTTATTTAAAAAAAAAAAGTTACATCTATTTGGTTATCCTTTACATAGAAACAGAAATAACTTGCTTAGGTAATGTGGGATAAGATTTCTACAAAGGTTTTATGTTTCCGTTTTCTTGACTGACCAGTTAAGGTGGAGGCACGTTTTAGCACTCAAAATTGAAATTATTTCAGATGGAGGTTGCAAAATTTTGTTTCCAGGGAATGCAGACATGTTTCCAGATATTTCAAGAAATGGCATGAGAAGGACATAAGCAATTGATTTACTTGTCAAATGATATGTAGGATGGTAAGAACTGTCAGGATTTCTTTTGAGAATTTTAGTCTTTTTAACTGCTTAGTTATTGCAGTTCTGGACAACCGAAAACAGGCCTCTGGATCCAGTCACCTCAGCTCTATATCTTGAGCTTCAGTGAGATGCTTTATGTCCCTTTTCTGTAGCTCCCTAAAATATCTTTGTTGAGATATAGTTAACTTACAGTTTTGTAACACTCTTCAACTTTGATGAATCTTACCACTGTCCTGTGTGTTTGTTTGGGCCAATTGCCTAACCACTTGTGAACTGATCATTGCTACACGATGCCTGAATTCCTCTTAGCACTTTAAAATTTTACTGCAGACTGTGCATATTCAAAATGGATTTATAAGGTCTCTTCATGTTGAGGTCACTAATAGTTGTGGGTTACTTACTGCATACTTTAAAATGCAGATACTTTTATCTTATGAAATAACTTTTCCAGCTCATTAATAACATTAGGTTGAGACTTAATAAAGTATTTTTCCATGTAAAAAAAAATTTCTCAGAATTCTCTTAATCTATGAAGTTAAGACAGTTAATATGTCAACTGTCAGATTCATATATCAATATGAATTGTAGTTAACAATTTGTAGTCAAGTTATCATTTTACTATCACTGGATTTTAATTGAATGTGGACATGTCATTTATTATATATTAATGCATAATAAGTGGTGGTAATTCTCCATGCTAATGTTCCAGCCCAGTTAGTTAACTATGACTCTTTGTCCTTAATCAAGCCTGAATTCAGCTCATTTTTTAAATAAGCTGAGCTGCTTTCATTACAGCTTTCCTTTGTCTGAAATGTTCATGAGACAGAAATTTTGCCTGTGAATACTAATGATCAGAACATTTCTTTTTAGTCTGTGTCTCATACTAGATTGTTTTTTCTGAGCTGTTTTTGCTTGAGTTTGTTCATACTCTGGGCTTCCAGCTTTTATAATATACTGCTTTCATAGTGCTAGGCTTTAAAAACCTCCATAGCTTGGGGCTGGGGCCAGGAATTGCCATGCATGACTGAAAAAATGTATTTCTTAGTGCATTTTGGAGATTGAGAGACTGGCATTACCTTAGTGTATCTTTCTTGGTTTTCCCCTCTGGAGAGCGGTCGTATCCTTTAAAAGCCTACCATTTCTTAAGGATTCTGGAACCAGACTGTCTTTGTCATATGTGTCATTATTGACTCCTTGGATAAAATGGCTTCAGAGCAGAGTACACATTAAGGAAAAGTTGAAAGGAAAAGTATTGTGGTCTGTCTTCAAGTGCAAGTGCATTCTGGAGCCTGCTGGATATGCTTAATGCTGTGATAGTTGTGTAGGTATTCAGGAAAAAGGGTTAGATCACAGAGCATCAAGTATTTGTTTTCCCCTAATCTTTCACCTTGTGAAAAAATTTATTTCATTATTTATGAAGTGTCTAAAGCACCTATACTACAGAGCAATCTGAAAAAGAAATTGACATTAAATACTTTTAATTGGAGTGAAAAAAGATAGCAAATTTCAGGTGTTTTTTTAAAAAAAAATCCCAATTGTACACTTTTAGTATGTATGTGTGGCTTCATAATTATAAAAAACATTTATTATCTGTGTTTGTGAATAGTATTTCTCCACATAACTCATACTCTAGCAATAATAATACGTCTACCATGGGAATCCTATATGGTATTCTATGCTGTAGATGTGTAGCTCATTTTTTCCAGACATCACTTGTTAGGCGCAAACCTTCTATCCTTGAATTGAAAATAATTCTTCTGTGATCTTTGAAATGCAGTTCAACAATTGAACAGAGTGAAACAGTTTCAAAAAATTGAAAATGCAGCTGAGTGTTTGGAGGCAGTAGTTGTCTGTAAGTACTTAAGCTTCTTATTTTTCAAAAGATGCAGTTAACGTCAAATGTTGTTCTTCAGTATAAGAAGGCGTGTCTCAAGGCAGGTATACATGGTTAATTTATCTACACATTCACATTTTTAGTAGGGTTGTTCTGGAATAATTTGTGGCATTTGTGACAAATGAAGCAAATAGTGCTTAAGGCTTTCTTCCATCAAAGAGGAATTGTTTCACTGATAATTAGATAAATATTTCAAATATCAGGATTTTGTGCCTTTGACTAGATATAGGATGCTGTATGTTTCAAAGCAAAACCAAGAGCCAGCACACGCGTATAAATCCAAGCATGCCCCAAACACCTAATGAAGTTTTCTGAGAAAGGAAGGGGAAAAAAAAAAGAAAATACTCTTAATCTGGCTCCCACTGATTTATTCCACTGATATAGTTGAGTTATATCATCAGAGTGTTTCTTAGAATAATATAGTGCGCTGTGTTTTGGGATTTTGTTGTAGCTTTTACTTTCCTCTATGAGGAAAGGTATATCAATTTGGGTTGCAGAATCCTGTTCCTTGCTTGCTGTGCAGTTTTTTTTGTGTGCCATGTACAGTGCAAAGTTTATATGTATAGAACATACAGATATATACAAAGTTACTCTTCTTGCTGTTGATGTAGATAGAACAGCATACAGCTGAAGACAATAAGTGCAGAAAAATTAGTGAGAAAAAAAAATTATATGGTTGTAGCCGTGAGAAATACTTACATTTTTGTAGTAGCATTTGACTGCTATTGTTTTCTTGAAATGTTTGTCCTTAGTCAAAATCACATTGGTCTCTAACAGGTTAAGTGGTTGAAAGACTCTCTGGTAGAAATGTCTTTTGGAGTGTACCAAAATCAATTTTACAAACAACTGCAAGTTGGTTTTTTGGTGTTTTTTAAAATAAATGTGTAGAATATAAATAAGTATTTTTGTGAAGCAATAGTTTAGTTCTTCTTGCATTAATAATTAAGGATTGTGTGGTGCCAGGTTTTGTTTGTTTATTGCCACCGTATGGATACATTTTGAGGTTTTATTACTGTTTTTCCAGATTGTAAAGCAAATAGTGAAAGCTCAGATACGTGGGTACTTGATACAGCAACAAGAAAGCAAAAATATCAGTAGCTGGGAGAAATAGGATGATGCAAATATTTACTCTTAATCAACATCTGAGAATAGAAGTTTGTTTAGAAATGCACTTACAAATGGCTTTGTATAATTTGCCTGCTGCATTTTTAATGAACGTTGTCAGCAGCCTTTCAACTGGCAAAGTAATTTGTATCCTGATCGAGGCAAAAGCCAAGACGTGACCAAAATGCTACATTAAATGAGTAACAATATTATAAGGAAAATAATGGCAGTCAATTTATTCTTTTTTTTTTTTTTTTTTTTTTTTTTAAACAATTAAATCAGATGAACAAGAAAAAAGTGCATATCAAGAGTATGATAGTGACAGTGATGTTCCTGAAGAGTTGAAAAGAGATTATGTGGATGAGCAGACAGGAGATGCCCCTGTGAAAAGGTAAGTAGATTGTGTGAGTCCTTGGTCTCATTTACATGCTTTTCATCTCAGTACTCTAATTAGTTCATTTTCTGTTTAATCTATACTCTACGACAATGGAATGATAATCAAATAATCTTTATGCTACCTGCACAGTTAGAAAGGCTCAGCACTTAGATCTCCAGAAGGGGGAGGAACGTTAAACTGCTCATCATTACTGCAGAAAGAAACTTTGGAAAGCAAGGTTTTGAAGGATGATAAAGGCTCTCTGAAGCAGGTAGTGGAAAACTTATTAGCAAGCAGTAGATGTTAACCAACTTTTCTTCTACAACTGCTGTTGTGCATACGTATAATTTCTGTTGTGTCAAAAGCAGTTGTTTGCAGACAGATGGCTTGAGGCTTGGGCTTCTGCTTTTGCAGAACAAAAGTAAACCTTTACAGGTAAAAAAAAAAAATTAAATTATTCCGTAGCTTGAAGGCAGTAATTTGGAATTTTAAATTCTCTTTTTCTTTAAGAATATCTATACACACACACAAACGTGTATATAT